GGGTAACCTGGGCCAGATAAACAAACCCCCTCAGCGTGTTCCAGAGTGTTCCGTCTCCCTCCTTCTGACCCAGATTGGATGCTCCCAGGCTGCCTGTACTGCCTGTATATGACTACACTGCTGCTGTGTTGCTGTGAGCCACTGACAGACTAACATGCTTACAACACACAACCCGCAGCAGAGCTCACAAGCTAAGTGCAGAATGTCTCCTGGTGTTGCCTCTTTTCAAGAGCCTGGGTGGTTCCCCATCTACTGCACCAAACTAGATGGTCATCCTTCCGAATGAAAGACCCCTGAAACCACATTGAACACTATTCACCATTCCTGTCCCTCTCTGTGACATCCATCACATCAGGCCATGGTGCCGCCATCCACTCTGACTCTTTACGTTAGGCCGCGTATGAGCCTTCACACACAGGGGAGGGCTTGATGCTCAGGGCAGCGATCAAGTGACAGAGGGGAAGTGAAGGTGGGGTAGTGCAGGATAGAATTACATAGCCCAGAATGCTGTTCGGTTGAGAGACATGCTGTTTTTTAGACTGATGCCTCATGTCCTTCACAACCGAGTTCTGCTGCATGCTCTTTGTGTGTCTTGACCAATCACATTCAAGGAAATCGCAGGTCGCACGGGCCGGTCACATAGCACAAAGCTCAAGGTGCGCTCTCCACTTTCCTCCGGTATTTATTTAGTAAGGTTGATAACACATCACTCTCGACAGACACAAGCAAAAACTCTTACATAAATGTAGCAGCCTACACCTATATTTGTGATCTGACATGCTGTATTGCATGGGAATTAGACTATGTTCAGTCTGATCAACTGTAACACAAGCAGCTGGATAGTCTAGCCTACTATGAGCCCTGTCCCTCTGGCCAGGGTAAACAAAGTATTTATAGGCCATTTGTTTGTGAAAAAATGTGAATGGGATCAACTTGGCTACCTAGACTTGACTGAGCGTTAAACTGACTAGGCTACCTAGACTTTTTAAATCCAAAATGATTAACCGTAATTAATCAATAAACACAATAGCTGACAGATAATGTTTTCTCAGGCCTACAGTTGCATAGGGCAGGATTACACTATGCAAACCTGCATAAAGCAAGCTCAGCCCTGTGAGTATTATTGTCAAATAATGTTGCTTTCTCTGTTTCTGTGTATAGGAAACCCCCCCTAGTCCTTCTTTAAAATCTAATTCATATGAACAAGTACAAGGTTGCTGCAGTTTGACAGGGTTCTCATCCTCCCAAAGCCAGGAGTTTTTCCAGGAGTTTTTTTTTTAACCATATGACCTGATTAGGAAAAAGTCTGGTCCCATCATAGCTCATATTAAACGTTTTTGCAGCAGATGAATCACGTCATACCGTATAAGGTCCGGAGTTATACCTAGTTAGGTTACCAGATCAGGAAAAATATAGGCCCCAGATTTTTCGCCACACCACTCCGGCACATATGGTGCCACCTCTGCGGGAAGGGGATTCCTTCTCCCTCTGTCGAGGCGACAGTAGAGCAGTATGCCTCTCAGAGTGACAAATCCAAGGCGATAAGAGGAGGGATATAGGCCTAAGAAGGTGGGCAACGGGGAAGAACCTTGTAACACAATTGAGGACAAATTAGGAGAGCAAGACAAAGAAAACCTACCCGTAGATGTCATTGTCTACAGCAGGCATTGCCCCCTCATCCCTCCCCCTGATCTCTTCCTCTTCCCCTCTCTCTCTGCGCCTGTTTTTTTTTCAGAACCGCGGAAAGCGACCTGCCTCTCGGAGCTCCATTGCCAGGGCAACGCGCTGCCTACTTGCAGGGGCTCCTGGTGCGCTTTGAAGCAGCTGTAATTTTATATTCTGACAAGCCCCTCAGCTCGCGATGCAGCATCCGGGTAACGCATTCAGTATCTGCAGAGCATTCAGTGCAGTGATTTAATAGTTAGGCTAAATAAAGCAGCATTGAAAAGAAGGCAACATTAGTTATCTGACCGTTTCACAATACACATTTCATGGCAGTAATCTTAGAGATGACGTGTTGGAGGGAGAGGGACACGGAGGCAGAATTGGAGAGAGAGATGCAGAGTGCAGACACGAGTGTGTGTGTGTTGGGGTGAGGGGGGGGGGGGGGGGGGGGGGGGGGTGTAGTGTGTGCATAATTATTATGTGGGTCATTCTGTCCATGAATTTGGGTTGCTCAGACTGTTATGGTCTTGTCAGAATGTACTGCCATGCAGCCAGTTACCACACTATCTATCACGCATGTGTCGGGGAAGAAGACATTCAATTGGCACTACTGAATAAACCTAGCACTCTCAGCCATAGGGTGTCGCTGTTTACCGTTGCAAGAGCAGAACATGACGGGATGTTCTAATAGCCCCATGTAGACACACACAAGAAATATCTAAGAGTTTGTGCCAAAAAAAGTAGATATCTATAATGTTAATAGTGTGACGCACTGACTGCACTACTCGTGATATCTATCACATTTAGGTGTTTAATTTATTATTTGAATAGAGGATGTAATCATTTTAAGAATATTGGTGACTAAGCCGAAATTCGTGGTATATAGAGGTTACCCACTCAAAGTATAACAACTGATCAAATAAGGACAGTATATTGTTGGTAAAATAAGGACCAGTGGTGAAAAGTACTTAAGTAAAAATACTTTAAAGTACTACTTAAGTAGTTTTTTGGGGTATCTGTACATTACTTTACTATTTCTATTTTTGACAACTTTTGCTTTTACTCCACTATATTCATAAAGAAAAGAATGTACTTCTTACGCCATACATTTTCCCTAACACTCAAAAGTACTCGTTACATTTTTACAGGAAAATTGTCCAATTCACGCACTTATCAAGAGAACATCCCTGGTCATCCCTACTGCCTCTGACCTGGCAGACTCACTAAACACAATGACTCTGATCTGGCGGATTCACTAAACACAAATGCTTCATTTGTAAATTTTGTCTGAGTGTTGGAGTGTGCCCCTGCAATGAGTAAATTTAGAAAACAAGACAATCGTGTCATCTTGTTTGCTTAATATAAGGAATGTGAAATGCTTTATACTTTTTCTTTAGATACTTAAGTATATGTGTGCAATTACATTTACTTTTAATACTTAAGTATATCTAAAAGCAAATACTTTTAGACTTTTACTGAAGTAGTATTTTACTGGGTGAATTTCACTTTTACTTGAGTCATTTTTCCATTAAGGTACACTACATGACCAAAAGTATGTGGACACCTGCTCATCGAACATCTAATTCCAAAATCATGGGCATTGATATGGAGTTGGTCCCCCCTTTGCTACTAGGTAGGTCATTGATGTTGGGCAATTAGGCCTGGCCCGCAGTCGCCATTCCAATTCATCCCAAAGGTGTTCGATGGGGTTGAGGTCAGGGCTCTGTGCAGGCCAGTCAAGTTCTTCCACACCAATCTCCACAAACCATTTCTGTATGGACCTCGCTTTGTGCACGGGGCATTGTCATGCTGAAACAGGAAAGGGCCTTCCCGAAACTGTTGCCACAAAGTTGTAAGCACAGAATCATCTAGAATATGCTGTAGCGTTAAGATTTCCCTTCACTGGAACTAAGGGGCCTAGCCTGAACCATGAAAAACAGCCCAAGACCATTATTCCTCCTTCACCAAACTTTACAGTTGGCACTATGCATTGGGGCAGGTAGCGTTCTCCTGGCAACCACCAAAAACAGATTTGTCCGTCAGACTACCAGATGGTGAAGCGTGATTCATCACTCCAGAGAACGCGTTTCCACTGCTCCAGAGTCCAATGGCGGCAAGCTTTACACCACTCAAGCTGATGCTTGGCATTGCGCATGGTGATCTTAGGCTTGTGTGCGGCTGCTCGGCCATGGAAACCCATTTCATGAAGCTCCCGACGAACAGTTATTGTGCTGACGTTGTTTCCACAGGCAGTTTGGAACTCAGTAGTGAGTGTTGCAACCGAGGACAGACGATTTTTACGCACTACACGCTTCAGCACTCGGTAGTCCCGTTCTGTGAGCTTGTGCAGCCTACCACTTTGCGTCTGAACCGTCGTTTCAATTTCACAATAACAGCACTTACAGTTGACCGGGCAGCTCTTAACGGGGCAGAAATTTGACAAACTGACTTGTTGGAAAGGTGGCATCCTATGATGGTGCCACGATGAAAGTCGCTGAGCCCTTCAGTAAGGCCATTCTACTGCCAATGTTTGTCTTTGGAGTTTGCATGGCTGTGTGCTCGATTTTATACACCTGTCAGCAACGGTGTGGCTGAAATAGCCAAATCCACTAATTTGAAGGGCTGTCCACATACTTTTGTATATATAGTGTATCTTTACTTTTACTTCAGTGTGACAATTGGGTACTTTTTCCACCAATGATAAGAAAAGTATATTGCTGATCAAAGACTAAGTATAAATGTGAAACGGCCTCTTATTTGCAATGATTGATTTTGCTTAACGGTCCCATTGGAAACATGTCCTATGAATCCTAGTGTACTGTTTTTGTCACCCATGCCCTTTATGAAGTGTATATAATTTTCAATAATATAGAATTGTCAATAATTTTCAATAAGGACAATATATTGCTGATCAAATAAGGACAGTATTTTGCTGATAAAATAAGGACAGTATATTGTAAGAGGTGATACAATTAGGTTGATCCGTTATGGAAAGCCAATTCAATTCATTTCTAAAGTACTTCAAAGCCGGGGCATGTATGACGATATTGGCCTACAGGTTAAGAACAACAAGGTGGCCAGACGCATGATGGTGCTGTTACATCATAAACGGGTAATAGAGGCGCGTAATAGGGCTGTTCTTGAAGGGATGCGACATTCAGCAGCTGCAGAGAGACAGTAGCATCACCGCGGACGTAAATAGCGCTATTCTAAAAGGCAGGACGATAGAAATAACAAACACTTATAGTGCGATCCTCTGATACGGAATTTATTTGTGTGCTTTTAGATTTTAGCATTTCTGCGTTTGACCTATAGCCTAGTTATTCTAGCATACAATGGCGATACAAACCCGAAAAAGACGCTGGTTAGGTGGATGGGCATTTCCTTCTTTTGCTCTTCTTTTGCTTCATTTGAAAGGAATCTCCGGACAGATACGATACTCAATTCAAGAGGAACTAAAAGTCGGAACGGCAGTTGGGAATATAGCTAAAGACCTAAGATTCGACACCTCGAGACAAGCGGACCGGAATCTTCGCATCTTATCTGGAACAAAGCACGAGCTCTTCCAGGTAAACCGGAGAGATGGCACTTTGTTAGTGAACCACAGACTAGACAGAGAGGAACTGTGCGTAAAAACCACGCCGTGTTTCATCAACCTAAAAGCGGTGATAGAAAATCCGCTAGAAATGCACCAAGTGACAGTAGAGATAATAGATGTAAACGACAATTCCCCTAAATTCCCCGAAGAAACATATAATTTGGAAATACTAGAGTCCGCATTGGCAGGGACACGGTTCCAAGTGGAGGGAGCACACGACTCAGATGTAGGCTTAAATGCTTTGCAGTCTTATTCGTTAAGCCACAACCAGTATTTTCGAGTGGAAACAGAAGAATTTGGTGAAGACGGTAAAATCCCATTTCTAATATTACAAAAACCATTGGATAGGGAGCTTATTTCTCAGCACACGTTGCTGTTAACAGCATTAGATGGGGGCAAGCCACCCAAATCAGGAGGCCTTAATATTACAGTTATTGTGTCCGATATAAATGATAACGCACCAGTGTGTGACAAGCAGAAATACACGGTAACCATAAAGGAAAGTGCACCTGCGGGGACATTTTTAATTCGATTGAATGCCTCTGATACGGACGAGGGTCTAAATGGCGAGGTCAAGTATTCTTTACGAGGCAAATTTAGAGGTATGGGTGTTGAGCCCTTTGAGTTGGACAGTAAAACAGGAGAGCTAAAAGTGAAGGGAGGCCTTGATTTCGAGGAGAAGCAGGTGTATGAGATGAATGTACTGGCAGCGGACACGGGAGCGGTGTCTCTCTCCACACACTGCAACGTGCTCGTCAGAGTTGAAGACGTGAATGACAACAGGCCCGAGATTGACGTCACCTCTCTGTCCAGGCGGATCTCTGAGGACGCACATCCCGGTACCGTGGTAGCGCTAATGGGGATGACCGACCTGGACTCGGGTGTGAACGGACAGGTAGTCTGTTCTTTACCGAAGGATTTACCGTTTGATCTGAAGCCTTCTCCCGATGGACATTTCTATTCGTTAGTCACGAATGAATTCCTTGATAAAGAGTCTGTGGCTCGGTATGATATTACAATCACGGCTAAAGACTTAGGAACCCCTCCTTTGACATCAACTAAAGTAATTCAAGTGGAGGTAGTAGATGTTAACGATAATAATCCACTTTTCACCGACAACCCTTACACATTTTATGTAGTTGAAAACAATAAACCCGGTATATCTATTTTCTCTGTAAGCGCGTCTGATTTTGATGAAGGTGAAAATGCAGCCATTTCATATTCACTGGACCGTGGGAGCACTGGACAAAGCGTGACATCCTTCCTAAACTTAAATGAAGGCAACGGTACCATTTACGCACTTAAGAGCTTTGACTTTGAAACCCTCAAAACGTTCCAGTTTCACGTCATTGCCAAGGACTCGGGCACTCCGTCACTAAGCAGCAATGTCACAGTGAACGTGTTCATTCTGGATCAGAACGACAACGCTCCAGTAATCTTGTATCCAGTCAGCGCTAACGGTTCCGCTGAAGGTGTGGAGGAGATTCCCCGCAATGTGAACGCAGGCCATTTGGTGACTAAAGTGAGAGCCTATGATGCTGACATAGGATATAACGGCTGGTTATTATTTTCACTGCAGGAAGTTACTGACCACAGTCTATTTGCTTTGGACCGCTATACAGGACAGATAAGGACACTTCGGCCATTCACAGAGACAGACGAGACTGAGCATAAACTGGTCATACTGGTAAAAGACAATGGGAACGTTTCATTGTCAGCAACAGCTACTGTGATGATCAACGTTGTGGAGCCCAAAGAGGCTTTTGCAGCTTCTGATGTTAAAAGCGCAGTAAAAGACGAAGAGGAGAACAGCGTTACATTTTATTTGATCATAACTTTGGGATCAGTTTCAGCACTTTTCATCATCAGTATCATCGTGTTGATTTTAATGCAGTGCTCCAAAGCCCCAGACTATTCCTCCAAGTACTTACAAGATGCGAATTACGACGGGACACTGTGCCACAGCATCCAGTACAGATCCGGAGACAAACGGTACATGTTAGTTGGACCCAGAATGAGTATAGGTTCTACTATAGTCCCGGGCAGCAATGGGAATACTCTAGTGGTACCCGAACACAGGAGGAGAGCTTCTGGAGAGGTAAGAAGTGTCTTTATCCTTTACTGCCTATTAAGTCAGATAAAGAGACATGTTTTGAGTGAATTTGTGCGCTAGCATGTTTTTGTCTGTGCGTAATGTCCATGCGCAAACTCCCTGTAGAGGGCGTTGTCCATGGTGCTGAATTACAAGCTCACTTAGGTTATTTTACATTTTAGTCATTTAGCAGACGCTCTTATCCAGAGCGACTTACAGTTAGTGAGTTCATACATTTTCATACTGGCCCCCCGTGGGAATCGAACACACAACCCTGGCGTTGCAAGCGCCATGCTCTACCAACTGAGCTACACGGGCTGTTCTTTAACTGTGCACTCCTTCAATTTAGTATTTTTCTCTTCCTCACCTATCTAATCACCCCTTCTTTTATTCTTATTTTTACTGATATTGGTGTATTTACTGGATTCGATACAGAAGACACACACGGAGCTCATAGTAGCCTATTGTGTGGACCAGAATCCCAGACCACATGGTGTCAGGGTAACACAAGGAGACTGTTTAGTACTTTGTAGATTAGACCCTACCCCTCTCTGTGCTGTTTTGTTTCACACACTGAGAGACTGGTGCGGACATCCGAACAAGACATGTATACGATAGTCAGATAATAATTGTATTATTTTTCGGTGCTGAAGCATTTGATTCAGTATGGATCATTTCGACTTGGCTATCTGATCATTAGGATTGTATTTTTTCATTGAGGTTTGTGCTTAATGTTCGGTTTAACGATGGGAGACGGAGGACAAAGGCGCAGATGGGAGTACTGGTGGGTTGCTCTGCGTTTCTCTTTGCTGCTGTGGTTCGGAGAGCAGGTTTCAGCACAGATAAGGTACTCTATTCCAGAGGAGGTGAAAGAGGGATCCGTTGTTGGAAATGTTGCTAAGGATTTGGGGCTTGACGTCAGTACTTTGTTGGAGAGGCGGTTTCGTATTGTTTCTGGATCTAATGACGCTCTTTTCCAGATAAATCAGAACAATGGCGTCTTGTATGTTCATAAGAATATCGACAGAGAAGTGCTATGTGATGGTAACAGCGCCTGCTTGATAAACCTCAAAATGGTTGTTGAAAACCCTTTAGAAATCCATTATGTAGGTGTAGAAATTACCGATGTGAATGATAATTCTCCCAGTTTCCCAGAAAAGGAGAAAAGACTTGAAATTGCAGAGACTACTGTGCCTGGAACACGTTTTCAGCTGCCAGCTGCGCTTGACCCTGATGTAGGAATACATTTCGTTCGCTTCTATAAATTGAGTCAGAATGAACATTTTGAGTTGCAAGTAAGAGACAGGGCAGATGATAAAATTCCATTTTTAGTTTTACAGAAATCTTTAGATAGGGAGCAAAAAGCCAAGCACAAGTTGGTGTTAACGGCGATTGATGGGGGAAATCCACCAAAATCAGGGACTCTTAATATTACCATCACTATTCTCGATTCAAACGACAACCACCCAGTGTTCACCCAAGAGGTTTACTCTGTGACGTTGCATGAAAATGTAAAAGTTGGAAATGTTGCGATTAAAGTTAAGGCCACTGACATCGACGAAGGCCCAAATGGTGATATTGAATATATCTTCAGCAGTGACTTAAAACCTAAAATATACGACGTATTTACTTTAGATAGTATGACAGGTGAAATCAGAGTTAAGGGAGATGTGGATTTCGAAGACATCGATGTTTACAAACTGGATGTCCAAGCATCGGATAAAGGAAATCCTCCACTAACTGTTGAATGCAGAGTCATCATTAAGATAATAGATGTAAATGATAACCAACCAGAGATAGACGTGACATCATTGTCAAATTTAGTGTCAGAAGGTTCAAAACGAGGAACTGTTATTTCTCTCATAAGCTTAAGTGATAAAGACTCCGGCATTAATGGGAAAGTAATGTGCAATCTGTCAGGAGATGTACCTTTTGAATTGAAACCTTCATTTCAGGAAAACATGTACTCTTTAGTGACGAAACAGCATTTAGACAGAGAACTCGTGTCCCATTATGACATCACAATAACAGCCACTGACTGTGGTCAGCCTCCTCTGTCCACATTCAAAACTCTGAGCGTCCAGATATCAGATGTGAACGATAACAGCCCAGAATTCTTCCAAAACCCTGTTGAGCTGTACTTAGTGGAGAATAACGCCCCTGGTGCATCCATATTCTCTGTAAGCGCAACAGATAAAGACTTGAATGAAAATGCTGCGATTTCATATCACATTGTTAGAGGTGAAGGGACACAGAATGATATGGCATCTTTTCTGAATATCAATTCTGATAATGGACATATTTCCGCTCTAAAAAGCTTTGATTTTGAAACTTTAAAAACATTCCAATTCCAAGTTGTAGCTACAGATTCTGGAACTCCATCACTAAGCAGCAACGTCACAATAAACGTGTTCATTCTGGATCGGAACGACAAAGCTCCAGTAATCTTGTATCCAGTCAGTGCTAACGGTTCCGCTGAAGGTGTGGAGGAGATTCCCCGCAATGTGAACGCAGGCCATTTGGTGACTAAAGTGAGAGCCTATGACGCTGATATAGGATATAACGGCTGGTTATTATTTTCACTGCAGGAAGTTACTGACCACAGTCTCTTTGCTTTGGACCGCTACACAGGACAGATAAGGACACTTCGGCCATTCACAGAGACAGACGAGGCTGATCATAAACTGGTCATACTGGTAAAAGACAATGGGAACGTTTCACTCTCAGCAACAGCTACTGTGATGATCAACGTTGTGGAGCCCAAAGAGGCTTTTGCAGCTTCTGATGTTAAAAGCACAGGAAAAGACGACGATGAGAACAGCGTTACATTTTATTTGATCATAACTTTGGGATCAGTTTCAGCACTTTTCATCATCAGTATCATCGTGTTGATTTTAATGCAGTGCTCCAAAGCCCCAGACTATTCCTCCAAGTACTTACAAGATGCGAATTACGACGGGACACTGTGCCACAGCATCCAGTACAGATCCGGAGACAAACGGTACATGTTAGTTGGACCCAGAATGAGTATAGGTTCTACTATAGTCCCGGGCAGCAATGGGAATACTCTAGTGCTACCCGACCACAGGAGGAGAGCTTCAGGAGAGGTAAGAGTTGTCTCTGTCCTCTACTGCCCATTAAACCCGCTAAAGAGACATGTTTTGAGTGAATTTGTTGTTTGTTAGCATGTTTTGTCTGTGCTTAATGTCTGAGTGTGCAAACTCGCAGCAACAGTCGTTGTCGATGGTGCTGAACCTCGCTTATGAGTTGTTGAGAGCATTGTAGGCTACTATTTAAATAATCTGTTGTTTTGCTCTGTAGCTACTCCTCCATTTCATTCACTACCTCTTCCTCTCATCTGCTCATCTTCCACCATCATATTTACTTGTTCTTTGATGTCTAATTTACTGGAATTTGTGTACATATTTGTTAGGATAAAAAAACGTACCGGTTTATTGAAAACAACTCTCGGAGATCATGTAGTAGTTGTACTGTAGATACCAGAATTCCGGGCCACATGGTGTCAGCGTAACACAAGGAGACTGTCTGGTACTTTTTATACTAGGCTCTGCCCCTATCTGGGCTGTTTTGTTCTACACATGCAGAGAGAGTGGGCGGATATCAGAACAAGATGTACTATGATAGTCAGAGAATCATAATTATTTTTTGGTGCTGAAACATTGGATTCAGTATGGATCATTACGAGTTGGCCATCTGATCAGTAGGATCGTATTTTTTCATTGAGGATTGTGCTTAATTGTCTGTTTAACGATGGGAGACGGAAGACAAAGGCGCAGATGGGAGTACTGGTGGGTTGCTCTGCGTTTCTCTTTGCTGCTGTGCTTCGGAGAGCAGGGTTCGGCACAGATAAGGTACTCTATTCCAGAGGAGGTGAAAGAGGGATCCGTTATTGGAAATGTTGCTAAGGATTTGGGTCTTGACGTCAGTACTTTGGTGGAGAGAAGATTTCGTATCGTTTCTGGATCTAATGATGCTCTTTTCCAGATAAATCAGAACAATGGCGTCTTGTATGTTCATAATAATATCGACAGAGAGGAGCTCTGTGATGGCACTGGCGTGTGCTTGATAGATGTTAAAATAGTAGTTGAAACCCCGCTAGAAGTCTACTATGTAGGTGTAGAAATCACAGATGTGAATGATAATTCACCTAATTTTCCAGAAAAGGAACAGAAATTTGAGATAGCTGAGCATACCGCTCCAGGTACACGTTTCCAATTACATGCAGCTCGTGACCCTGATGTTGGGATGAATTCAGTTCATACCTATAAAATAACCTCAAATGATCATTTTGAAATCGATGTGCGGCAAAGCGATGAGGACAAAATACCGTTTTTAGTTTTAAAGAAGTCGCTAGATAGGGAACAAAACCACAACTACACGCTTCTTCTAACAGCGATAGATGGAGGTAATCCTCGAAGATCAGGAACTCTAAATGTTACAATTATTGTTCTAGATATTAATGATAACCGCCCAGTCTTTAGTCAGGATACATATACTATTAGGATACAAGAAAACGTTGGAGTTGGTACAGTTGTTATTAGAGTAAATGCAACTGATCCAGATGAAGGAAGTAACAGTGAGGTTGAGTTCAGCCTGGGTAAAACCTTAAGGAGAAAAGTCTATGATATTTTTGAACTGGATAGACTAACTGGAGACATTAGAGTTAAAGGTGAGGTGGACTTCGAGGACACAGAGGTGTATAAACTAGATGTTCAGGCCTCAGACAAAGGACAACCTCCATTGACTGTGGAATGTAGAGTGATCATAAAGATAATCGATGTTAATGACAATAAGCCAGAAATTGATGTAACATCCCTCTCTAATACAGTGCCTGAAGATTCAAAACCAGGAACCGTTATTTCTCTCATCAGCGTGACAGATAAAGACTCTGGTATTAATGGTAAAGTGATTTCAAGTATATCAGAAAATGTCCCTTTTGAATTGACGCCATCATATAAAGAAAACTTATATTCAATAGTCACAAGGGGACGTTTAGATCGAGAACTCGTGTCCCATTACGACATCACAATAACAGCCACTGACTGTGGTCAGCCTCCTCTGTCCACATTCAAAACTCTGAGCGTCCAGATATCAGATGTGAACGATAACAGTCCAGAATTCTTCCAAAACCCTGTTGAGCTGTACTTAGTGGAAAATAACGCCCCCGGTGCATCCATATTCTCTGTAAGCGCCACAGATAAAGACTTGAACGAAAATGCTGCTATTTCATATCACACAATTAGAGGAGAAGGGACACAGAATGATATGGTATCTTTCTTGAATATCAATTCTGATAACGGACATATTTCCGCTCTAAAAAGCTTTGACTTTGAAACCCTCAAAACATTCCAATTCCAAGTTGTAGCTACAGACTCTGGAACTCCGTCACTAAGCAGCAACGTCACAATAAACGTATTCATTCTGGATCAGAACGACAACGCTCCAGTGATCTTGTATCCCGTCAGTGCTAACGGTTCCGCTGAAAGTGTGGAGGAGATTCCCCGCAATGTGAACGCAGGCCATTTGGTGACTAAAGTGAGAGCCTATGATGCTGACATAGGATATAACGGCTGGTTATTATTTTCACTGCAGGAAGTTACTGACCACAGTCTCTTTGCTTTGGACCGCTATACAGGACAGATAAGGACACTTCGGCCATTCACAGAGACAGACGAGGCTGATCATAAACTGGTCATACTGGTAAAAGACAATGGGAACGTTTCACTCTCAGCAACAGCTACTGTGATTATCAACGTTGTTGAGCCCAAAGAGGCTTTTGCAGCTTCTGATGTTAAAAGCGCAGTAAAAGACGAGGAGGAGAACAGCGTTACATTTTATTTGATAATAACTTTGGGGTTAGTTTCAGCGCTTTTTCTCGCCAGTATCATCGTGTTGATTTTAATGCAGTGCTCCAAAGCCCCAGACATTTCATCCAAATATTTACAAGAGGCGAATTACGACGGGACACTGTGCCACAGCATCCAGTACAGATCCGGAGACAAACGGTACATGTTAGTTGGACCCAGAATGAGTATAGGTTCTACTATAGTCCCGGGCAGCAATGGGAATACTCTAGTGGTACCCGAACACAGGAGGAGAGCTTCAGGAGAGGTAAAAACTTTTCCTAACCTTTTCTCTCCATAATGTATTTGATTTTGATCGTGTTTGGCCCAGGAGAGGTAAGAACTGTTCATAACCTTTAGTCTCCATAATGTATTTTATTTTGATTATGTTTGGTCCGTGGCTAATGGGACATAGGCAAAGTCGCTGCCGTGGTTGCTGTCCATGGTGCTGAATTACAAGCTCTCTTAATTAGTTGGTGAGAGCTTGCTAGGCTACTACCACACCTGCATTTTCTGTTATTTTGCTATATAGCCTACTTCTTCAATTCAGTCTCGTCCTCTTCATCTTCCTCCCATCTCTACCCACCCTCCAACTTCATTTTTACTCGTTATTTGATAGCTAATGTATGTATATTTATTGGTATGTAAACTCTCGGAGCTCATATCACTGTGGATGGAATCCCGGCCCACAGGGTGCCAGTGTAACACAAAGATACTGTCTGGTGCTTTATAGAATAGGCCCTGCCCCTCTCTGGGCTTCTATCTGATTTGGTTTGTTCTAGAGAGAGCTGAGCAGACATCCGAAAAAGACCTGCTGTGTTGGACAGAGAGAACCGTATTATTTTCCGGTGCTGAAGTATTGGATACAGTATGGATAATAAAGAGTTTTCTATCTGAATTTTAGGATTATTATTTTTTCATTGAGGACCGTTTTTTGTTGCTTTGCTTAATTAACGATGGGAGACGGAAGACAAAGGCGCAGATGGGAGTACTGGTGGGTTGCTCTGCGTTTCTCTTTGCTGCTGTGCTTCGGAGAGCAGGTTTCGGCACAGATAAGGTACTCTATTCCAGAGGAGGTGAGAGAGGGATCCGTTGTTGGAAATGTTGCTAAGGATTTGGGGCTTGACGTGAGTACTTTGTTGGAGAGGCGGTTTCGTATTGTTTCTGGATCTAATTACGCTCTTTTCCAGGTTAATCAGAACAATGGCGTCTTGTATGTTCATAAGAATATCGACAGAGAAGTGCTCTGTGATGGCAATAGTGCTTGTCTGATAAACCTGAAAATTGCTGTTGAAAACCCTTTAGAGATTCATTATGTTGGTGTAGAAATAACGGATGTTAATGATCACTCGCCCAGTTTTGCTGAAAAGGATCTGCATTTAGAGATAGCGGAAAATACCCTTTCTGATACGCGCTTTGAACTCCAGACCGCACGTGATGCAGATGTTGGAGTGAACTCTGTGCGCATGTACAAGTTAAGTAGTAATGCTCATTTCGAATTGGAATTAATTGATAATGGAGACGACGACAAAGTTCCATTTTTAATCTTAAGGAAGGCCATTGATAGAGAACAAAACACAAACCACTCATTAATTTTAACAGCAATAGATGGGGCCAATCCTCCGAGATCAGGTACTCTAAATATTTTGGTTACAGTTGTTGATGTCAATGATAATCGACCAGTTTGTGGTAAAGTTATCTATTCTGTTACTATCCAGGAAAATGCACCCATTGGAACAACCGTTTTAAACATAAACGCCACTGATACAGACGATGGTCAAAATAGTGAAGTTGAATATGCACTTGGTAGAAACATAAAGCGCAAAGTTCATGACATATTTAATTTGAACAGTCTTACTGGTGAAATTCGTGTCATAGGTCTAGTAGACTTTGAAGAGAATGAGGTTTACAAATTAACAGTGCAAGCCTCTGACAAAGGACAACCCCCACTATCAGTCGACTGTAGAGTTGTCATCAAGATAACGGATGTAAATGACAATAAACCAGAAATAGAGGTGACGTCACTGTCTAACATGATATCTGAGGACTCAAAGTCTGGAACAGTCATATCTCTCATTAGCGTGACGGATACGGACTCCGATAACAACGGCAAAGTCCTATTAAGAATATCCGAGGAGGTCCCATTTGAATTAAAACCATCATTTCAGGACAATGCGTATTCTGTCGTCACAAAGGGGCGTTTAGATCGAGAACTGGTGTCCCATTATGACATCACAATAACAGCCACTGACTGTGGTCAGCCTCCTCTGTCCACATTCAAAACTCTGAGCGTCCAGATATCAGATGTGAACGATAACAGCCCAGAATTCTCCCAAAACCCTCTTAAGCTGTACTTAATGGAGAATAACGCCCCTGGTGCATCCATATTTTCTGTAAGCGCCACTGATAAAGACTTGAATGAAAATGCTGCTATTTCATATCATATTGTTAGAGGTGAAGGGACACAAAATGATATGGCATCTTTCTTGAATATCAATTCTGATAATGGACATATTTCCGCTCTAAAAAGCTTTGATTTTGAATCCCTCAAAACATTCCAATTCCAAGTTGTAGCTACAGACTCTGGAACTCCATCACTAAGCAGCAACGTCACAATAAACGTGTTAATTCTGGATCAGAACGACAACGCTCCAGTGATATTGTATCCAGTCAGTGCTAACGGTTCCGCTGAAGGTGTGGAGGAGATTCCCCGCAATGTGAAGGCTGGCCATTTGGTGACTAAAGTGAGAGCCTATGACGCTGATATAGGATATAACGGCTGGTTATTATTTTCACTGCAGGAAGTTACTGACCACAGTCTCTTTGCTTTGGACCGCTACACAGGACAGATAAGGACACTTCGGCCATTCACAGAGACAGACGAGGCTGAGCATAAACTGGTCATACTGGTAAAAGACAATGGGAACGTTTCATTATCAGCAACAGCTACTGTGATTATCAACGTTGTAGAGCCCAAAGAGGCTTTTGCAGCTTCTGATGTTAAAAGCGCAGTAAAAGACGAGGAGGAGAACAGCGTTACATTTTATTTGATCATAACTTTGGGATCAGTTTCAGCACTTTTTCTCGCCAGTATTATCGTGTTGATTTTAATGCAGTGCTCCAAAGCCCCAGACTATTCCTCCAAGTATTTACAAGATGCGAATTATGACGGGACACTGTGCCACAGCATCCAGTACAGATCCGGAGACAAACGGTACATGTTGGTTGGACCCAGAATGAGTATAGGTTCTACTATAGTTCCTGGCAGCAATGGGAATACTCTAGTGGTTCCCCCAGAACACAGGAGACATGCGTCTGGAGAGGTAAGCGCTGTACATGTATAATATCGTGTGTTTGTTTTTGGCTTACATGGGTGTTTGCGAAATATGAAGATACATCCCTTAAAATAGTTGACTAGTCATGACCAGGCCCCAGCAACACTCCTTTTTCTACAAACGGCATTTCTGTTCATAATGGCTGGTGTGGTTGCCGTTATCTCTAGTGGTGCTGAATTGTAAATGCATTGTTTTCCGTTTAAAGCGTGTTCTTGCCTTCTCTTCTTTTTTTTGTGTGTGTTGGCCAATCTTTTACATCATCTTAGTAGCCTACTGTTCCATACCATTTTGTTTTATTCCTCGACCTTTCCTCGTCATTTTGCCATTGTTATTCCTCTAGATTGACCCAATGCAACTGGGGCTTTTATCAATTCAAATAGTGACAACCAAATGAATGTACAAAACCATGCACTCTTGTAGTCTACGGCGGTAAACAGGAGCTTGGAGCGCTGGGTGTCAGTGTAACACAAGGATACTGTCTGGTGCTTTGTAGAATAGGCCCTGCCCCTCTCTGGGCTGTTTTGTTCCATACATAGGTCGGTGCGGATATTAGAACAAGACGTGCTATGTTAGACAGAAAGGATTGTTTTCTATTTTGCTGCTGAAACATTGGATAAAGTGTGGATAGAAACCCGTTGGCCATCTGATAGTCAGGATTGTATTTTTTTCATTGAGGATTGTGTTTAATTTTCTATTTAACGATGGGAGACGGAAGACAAAGGCGCAGATGGGAGTACTGGTGCGTTGCTCTGCGTTTCTCTTTGCTGCTGTGGTTCGGAGAGCAGGTTTCGGCACAGATAAGGTACTCTATTCCAGAGGAGGTGAGAGAGGGATCCGTTGTTGGAAATGTTGCTAAGGATTTGGGTGTTGACGTCAGTAGTTTGGTGGAGAGGCGGTTTCGTATCGTTTCTGAATCTGATGACGCTCTTTTCCAAGTTAATCAGAACAATGGCATCTTGTATGTTTATAAGAATATCGACAGAGAGGAGCTTTGTATCGGAAATGTTGCTTGTGTGATAGATCTAGAGATCATTGTTGAAAACCCGTTGGAAGTCCATTATGTAGGTGTAGAGATAACAGACATAAACGACTATACACCCAGCTTCTCTGAAAAAGATGTACACATCAACATAGCTGAGCATAAACTGCCAGGGGCTCGTTTTGAACTCCAGACTGCGCGTGATTTGGACTCTGGAATAAATTCAGTACGTTCCTATAAATTAAATAAAAATGAACATTTTGATTTAGAGCTCCGTGATAGCGGGGAAGGTGATAAAATCCCATTTTTGGTTTTACAGAAAGCCTTAGATAGGGAACAGAAGACCAAACATGTATTACTATTGACAGCATTGGATGGGGGGAATCCGCCTAGAACAGGTACTCTGAACATCACTGTCACAGTTCTTGACACAAATGATAATCAACCTGTATGTAGCCAAGACGTCTACTCAGTGACGTTACAGGAAAATGCTGATATCGGTAGGATTGTAGTAAGGGTTAACGCAACTGATACAGACCATGGATCAAATGGAGAAGTTGAATATACACTTGGTAGGAATTTAAAGCGTGGAGTTTATGAAATATTTGAACTGGATAGCCTTACTGGAGAAATTCGGGTTAAAGGCCCAGTAGATTTCGAGGAAAATGAGGTGTACAGGTTAAATATAGAGGCGTCTGATAAAGGCCAACCTCCACTGACTGTTGATTGTCGAGTTATTATAAAGATAATTGATGTCAATGACAATAAACCATATATTGGTGTAACATCCCTCTCTAATATGGTGTTTGAAGATTCAAAACCAGGAACTGTTATTTCTCTCATCAGTGTGACAGATAAAGACTCTGGTATTAATGGTAAAGTCCTTGCTAGTATATCTAATGACGTGCCATTTGAGTTAAAGCCATCATATAAAGACAACGTATATTCTATAGTCACAAAGGCGCGTTTAGACAGAGAACTCGTGTCCCATTATGATATCACAATAACAGCCACCGACTGTGGTCAGCCTCCTTTGTCCACATTCAAAACTCTGATTGTCCAGATATCAGATGTGAACGATAACAGCCCCAAATTCTCCCAAAACCCTCTTGAGCTGTACTTAGTGGAGAATAACGCCCCTGGTGCGTCCATATTCTCTGTAAGAGCCTCTGATAAAGACTTACATGAAAATGCAGCCATTTCATATCACATTGTTAGAGGTGAAGGGAAACAAAATGTTATGTCATCTTTCCTGAATATTAATTCTGATAATGGACATATTTCCGCGCTAAAAAGCTTTGACTTTGAAACCCTCAAAACATTCCAATTCCAAGTTGTAGCTACAGACTCTGGAACTCCGTCACTAAGCAGCAACGTCACAGTAAACATGTTCATTCTGGATCAGAACGACAACGCTCCAGTGATCTTGTATCCAGTCAGTGCTAATGGTTCCGCTGAAGGCGTGGAGGAGATTCCCCGCAATATGATCGCAGGCCATTTGGTGACTAAAGTGAGAGCCTATGATGCTGACATAGGATATAACGGCTGGTTATTATTTTCACTGCAGGAAGTTACTGACCACAGTCTATTTGCTTTGGACCGCTATACAGGACAGATAAGGACACTTCGGACATTCACAGAGACAGACGAGGCTGAGCATAAACTGGTCGTACTGGTAAAAGACAACGGAAACGTTTCACTCTCAGCAACAGCTACTGTGATTATCAACGTTGTGGAGCCCAAAGAGGCTTATGCAGCTTCTGATGTTAAAAGCGCAGTAAAGGACGACGATGTGAATAGTGTTACATTTTATTTGATAATAACTTTGGGGTCAGTTTCAGCACTTTTTCTCATCAGTATCGTCGTGTTGATTATAATGCAGTGCTCCAAAGCCCCAGACTATTCCTCCAAGTATTTACAAGATGCGAATTACGACGGGACACTGTGCCACAGCATCCAGTACAGATCCGGAGACAAACGGTACATGTTAGTTGGACCCAGAATGAGTATAGGTTCTACTATAGTCCCGGGCAGCAAAGGGAATACTCTAGTGCTACCCGAACACAGGAGGAGAGCTTCTGGAGAGGTAAGTACTGTTTCTGAGCATGAAACTTTGAAAGCATATTGCTGGTTATTTGAATGTATTTATCTTGCGTAATCAAATGTATGACTGAAGATTAAGCGGTTGCTGTCTGCCCTGATGGTGCTGAACTGGTGATTAATCGCTTGCGATTGTTTTTTTTTGTTTATATGGGCATGAGATATGCTGATATTTGAAACAGTTGACTGACTAGTCATAAACTAGGTCCCAACAAGACTGGTTAGTGTAATACCCCTGTCTACAAACTACTTTTCTGTGCGTAATGGAGGAGAACTGAACTCGTTCATGCAACTGCTGTCCATTCCTGTGGTGCTGATTTACAAGATAATTGTTTTTCTTTGCAATCGGGTATTTACTATGTCTGTCTTTTACATCTGTATTCCTCCACATCCATATAGTCCCAAACTTTTTCATTTTACTCCCACTAAACCTTTCCTCGTCCCACGCATGTAACTGTAGTATAGTGCTGGTTCATTTGCTGATGCTAATACAGAAAGGTATAATCATTCTAGAGCCGTATGTACTTATGGCAAGCAGTAGATCGGTCCGAAAGGTGTCAGTGTAACACAAGGAGACTTGCTGGTACTTTTATACTAGGCCCTGCCCCTCTCAGGGCTGTTTTGTTCCCCACAGATAAAGAGAGAGTCGTGTGGACATCAGATCAAGCCGTGCTATTTCAGACAAATACTATTTTGTTGTTTTTCGTTTGCTGAACCGTTTAGCAGGTGCTTTTATCCAAAGCGACTTACAGTCATGTGTGCACACATTTTTACGTATGGGTGGTCCCGGGGATCGAACCCACTACCCTGGCGTTACAAGCGCCTTGCTCTACCAATTGAGCTAAAGAGGACCACAAAATTCTTTACGACTTTGCCATCTGATCATTAGGATTGTAATTTCTCATTGACAACTGGGTTTGATTCCAAACCAGAAGTGTTGTCTCTTAGGAGATGTACCCATTGAGTTAAAACCCTCCTTTCAGGATAACATGTATTCTTTAGTGACCAAAAAGCGTTTGGATCGTGAACTCGTGTCCCATTATGACATCACAATAACAGCCACCGTCTGTGGTCAGCCTCCTCTGTCCACATTCAAAACTCTGAGTGTCCAGATATCAGATGTGAACGATAACGGGCCAGAATTCTCCCAAAACCCTCTTGAGCTGTACTTAGTGGAAAATAACGCCCCCGGTGCGTTCATACTCTCTGTAAGCGCCACTGATAAAGACTTGAATGAAAATGCTGCGATTTCATATCACATTGTTAGAGGTGAAGGGACACGGAATGATATGGCATCATTTCTGAATATCAATGCTGATAATGGACTCATTTCCACGCTAAAAATCTTTGACTTTGAAACCCTCAAAACATTCCAATTCCAAGTTGTAGCTACAGACTCTGGAACTCCGTCACTAAGCAGCAACGTCACAATAAACGTCTTCATTCTGGATCAGAATGACAACGCTCCAGTGATCTTGTATCCAGTCAGTGCTAACGGTTCCGCTGAAGGTGTGGAGGAGATTCCCCGCAATATGAATGCAGGCCATTTGGTGACTAAAGTGAGAGCCTATGACGCTGATATAGGATATAATGGCTGGTTATTATTTTCACTGCAGGAAGTTACTGACCACAGTCTCTTTGCTTTCGACCGCTACACAGGACAGATAAGGACACTTTGGTCATTCACAGAGACAGACGAGGCTGAGCATGAACTGGTCATACTGGTAAAAGACAATGGAAACGTTTCACTCTCAGCAACAGCTACTGTGATGATCAACGTTGTTGAGCCCAAAGAGGCTTTTGCAGCTTCTGATGTTAAAAGCGCAGTAAAAGACGTTGAGGAGAACATCATTACATTTTTTGGATCATTACTTTGGGGTCAGTTTCAGCGCTTTTTCTCATCAGTATCGTCGTGTTGATTATAATGCAGTGCTCCAAAGCTCCAGACTATTCCTCCAAGTATTTACAAGATGCGAATTATGACGGGACACTGTGCCACAGCATCCAGTACACATCCGGAGACAAACGGTACATGTTAGTTGGACCCAGAATGAGTATATGTTCGACTATAGTCCCGGGCAGCAATGGGAATACTCTAGTTGTACCCGAACACAGGAGACGTGCGTCTGGAGAGGTAAACTCTGTGCATGTATAATTACTTGTGTTTGTTGGTCGCTTATATGGGTGTGTTTACAAGATATGCTGATCTCTCCCTTCAAGTAGTTTAGTAGCCATAACCAGGTCCCAACATGATTCAATTGTCTACAAACAGGTTTTCTGTGCATAAGGTACATAGTATGTGGTTGCTGTCCACTCTAGTGGTGCTGAATTACACATTCATTGTTTTCGTTGAAAGCTCGACTCTGCCTTCCTATTTGAATGTGTACTCCACTATATCAACTTAGTATCCTACTGTTCCATTTAATTTTATTCTTCCTCATCCTTTCTTCATCCGTTGACTATGCCTTTAAAGTGACCCAATGCAACTGGGGCTTCTAGCAATACAAAAAGCTGCAACCGAATTAATTATACAATACTATATTCTCATGTAGACTACGCATCAGACAGGAGCTTGGACCGCAGGGTGTCAGTGTAACACAAGGAGACTGTCTGGTATTTACTCTTAGACTAGGCTCTGCCCCTCTCTGGGCTGTTTTGTTCTACACATACAGAGAGAGTAGTGCAGACATCAGAACAAGACGTGCCATGTCAGAGAAGGCTTTAATTGTTTACTGACTGAGTAGTTGAATTCAGTATGGATCATTGCGAGTTGGTCATCCGATCATTAGGATTGTATTTTTTTCATTGAGGACCGTGTTTTTGTTCCTCTGTTTAAAGATGGGAGACGGAGGACAAAGGCGCAGATGGGAGTACTGGTGGGTTGCTCTGCGTTTCTCTTTGCTGCTGTGCTTCGGAGAGCAGGTTTCAGCACAGATAAGGTACTCTATTCCAGAGGAGGTGAGAGAGGGATCCGTTGTTGGAAATGTTGCTAAGGATTTGAGTCTTGACGTCAGTACTTTGGTGGATAGACGGTTTCGTATTGTTTCTGGATCTAAGGACGCTCTTTTCCAGGTTAATCAGAACAATGGCGTCTTGTATGTTCATAAGAATATAGACAGAGAAGTGCTCTGTGATGGCAATAGTGCTTGCATGATAAACCTGAAATTCGTTGTTGAGAATCCTTTAGAAATACATTATGTAGGGATAGAGATAAGTGATGTGAACGACCATTCACCCAGTTTCTCAGAGAAAGAACAGCATTTGGAAATAGCAGAATCTACTCTGCCAGGCACCGGTTTCCAGTTACAGGCAGCACGTGATCCAGATTCCGGAATGAATTCTGTTCATTTATATAAATTAAGCCATACTGAATATTTTGATCTGGAGCTGCGGGACACTGGAGAAGAAGGAAAAATCCCTGTTTTGAAATTACATAAACCTCTCGATAGGGAACGTGAGAGCAACCATATTTTAGTTTTAACGGCCATCGATGGCGGTAACCCGCCAAGATCAGGGCATGTCAACATTTCAGTCACTGTTCTTGATAATAATGACAACAGACCTATTTTCAGCCAAGACGTGTATTCGGTGACAATACAGGAAAATGTTGCAGTTGGAACAATTGTTGCTAAAGTTATTGCTACCGATTTGGACGACGGTGTTTATTCTGAAATTATCTATTCATTCGTGAAAAACCTAAAAAGAAAAGTATATGATACTTTTAGCTTAGATTCCAATACCGGTGAAATATCAGTGAAAGGTAATATCGACTTCGAGGATACTGAAGTTTACAGAGCTGATGTTATGGCATCAGATAAAGGACAGCCACCTATGAGGACAGATTGTAGGGTGATTATCAAGATAAAAGATGTAAATGATAATAAACCTGAAATAGAGGTAACATCTCTTTCTAATATGGTCTCAGAAGATTCAAAACCAGAGACTGTTATTTCTCTAATAAGTGTAACTGACAAAGACTCCGGCATTAACGGTAAAGTCATGTGCAGTCTGTCAGAAGATGTACCTTTTGAATTGAAACCTTCATTTCAAAATAACATGTACTCTTTAGTTACGAAACAGTGTTTAGATCGAGAACTATTGTCCCATTATGACATCACAATAACAGCCACTGACTGTGGTCAGCCTCCTCTGTCCACATTCAAAACTCTGAGCGTCCAGATATCAGATGTGAACGATAACAGCCCAGAATTCTCCCAAAATCCTCTTGAGCTGTACTTAGTGGAGAATAACGCCCCTGGTGCATCCATATTCTCTGTAAGCGCCACAGATAAAGACTTGAATGAAAATGCTGCGGTTTCATATCACATTGTTAGAGGAGAAGGGACACAGAATGTCATGGCATCTTTCCTGAATATCAATTCTGATAATGGACATATTTCCGCTCTAAAAAGCTTTGACTTTGAAACCCTCAAAACATTCCAATTCCAAGTTGTAGCTACAGACTCTGGAACTCCGTCACTAAGCAGCAACGTCACAATAAAGGTGTTCATTCTGGATCAGAACGACAACGCTCCAGTGATACTGTATCCAGTCAGCGCTAACGGTTCCGCTGAAGGTGTGGATGAGATTCCCCGCAATGTGAAGGCTGGCCATTTGGTGACTAAAGTGAGAGCCTATGACGCTGATATAGGATATAACGGCTGGTTACTATTTTCACTGCAGGAAGTTACTGACCACAGTCTCTTTGCTTTGGACCGCTACACAGGACAGATAAGGACACTTCGATCATTCACAGAGACAGACGAGGCTGAGCATAAACTGGTCATACTGGTAAAAGACAATGGGAACGTTTCACTCTCAGCAACAGCTACTGTGATTATCAACGTTGTGGAGCCCAAAGAGGCTTTTGCAGCTTCTGATGTTAAAAGCGCAGTAAAAGACGAGGAGGAGAACAGCGTTACATTTTATTTGATCATAACTTTGGGGTCAGTTTCAGCACTTTTTCTCATCAGTATTATCTTGTTGATTGTAATGCAGTGCTCCAAAGCCCCAGACTATTCCTCCAAGTATTTACAAGATGCGAATTACGACGGGACACTGTGCCACAGCATCCAGTACAGATCCGGAGACAAACGGTACATGTTGGTTGGACCCAGAATGAGTATAGGTTCTACTATAGTCCCGGGCAGCAATGGGAATACTCTAGTGCTACCCGACCACATGAGAAGAGCTTCTGTTGAGGTAAGAGCAGTTTCTAAGCATTTCAACAGTTAAAGTTTTTTGTATATAAAGTATCGTGTTGGTCATTTGACTTGATTTTCTGGTTCATTGGAATGTCTTTAACGTGCTTAATGAATTATAGGCTGCTGACTCGGTCGCTGTCTACCTCGGTGGTGCTGAATCAACAGCTCACTTGTTATATGTATGTGTTGGAGTCCATCTCAGTCTCTCTTTCCCTTTACACATTTTCTACATTCTTTGACTGCTACGACATAATTCTTGCAACTAGAAAACAGACAATAACTCCAAGTTTATAAAGTTATAGAATCTGAATCCCGGACCACAGGATGTCAGTGTAATAAAATTTGACTGTTGGTAGTTTAGGCCCTGCCCCTCTGGTCTGTCCCCCCCCCCCACACACACACATACAGAGAGAGTGGGGCGGACATAAGAACAAGACGTGCTCTGATGGCCAGATAATACATGTATATTTTTTCGGTGCTTAATACTTGGATTCAGTAGGCCTATGGATCATTACGAGTCGGTCATCTGATCACTAGGATTTCATTTTTTCATTGAGGATTGTGCATAATTGTCTGTTTAACGATGGGAGACGGAGGACAAAGGCGCAGATGGGAGTACTGGTGGGTTGCTCTGCGTTTCTCTTTGCTGCTGTGCTTCGGAGAGCAGGTTTCAGCACAGATAAGGTACTCTATTCCAGAGGAGGTGAAAGAGGGATCCGTTGTTGGAAATGTTGCTAAGGATTTGGGGCTTGACGTCAGTACTTTGGTTAAGAGGCGGTTTCGTATCGTTTCTGGATCGAATGACGCTCTTTTCCAGATAAATCAGAACAATGGCGTCTTGTATGTTCATAATAATATCGACAGAGAGGAGCTCTGTGATGGCACTGGCGCGTGTTTGATGAACCTGAAGATTGTAGTTGAGAATCCTCTAGAAATACATTATGTTCAGTTAGAAATCAAAGATGTCAATGATCATTCACCTATGTTCACAGAAAAGGAGCAGCATTTTGAAATAGCAGAACATGTCCCTCCGGGAACTCGCTTCCAAATTCCGACTGCTCGTGATCCGGACATAGGTTTAAACTCTGTAAGTTTTTACAAATTAAGCCAGAATGATTTTTTCGACATTGAGATAAAAGATAGCGATGAGGACAAAATACCATTTTTAATATTACAGAAATCTCTAGATAGGGAGAACAGAATCAACCACTCATTCGTTTTAACTGCTATCGATGGAGGGAATCCGCCAAGATCAGGATCTCTAAATATAACCGTTACTGTTCTTGACGTAAATGATAACAAGCCTGTTTTTAGTCAAGACACATATTCTGTAACTTTACAAGAAAACGTCCCTATTGGTACCATCGTTGTACAAGTAAGTGCTACTGATCTAGACGAAGGGTTAAACCGTGTTGTTGAATACTCTCTTGGCAGAAACCTTAAGAACAAAGTTTATGACGTGTTTAATTTGGATAGCATTACAGGTGAAATTAGAGTGAAAGCGCAGGTAGACTTTGACGACACCGAGGTGTACAAACTAAGTGTACAAGCATCAGACAGAGGTCAGCCTCCATGGACTGTCGAATGCGGGGTTATCATAAAAATACTTGATGTTAATGATAACAAACCCGAGATAGAGGTAACATCCCTCTCTAATATGGTCTCTGAAGATTCTAAACCAGGAACTGTTATTTCTCTCATAAGCGTTAATGATAAAGACTCCGGTATCAATGGAAAAGTGTTGTGTAGTCTGTTAGGAGATATACCCTTTGAGTTAAAACCTTCATTTCAGGATAATATATACTCTTTAGTGACCAAACAACGATTAGACCGAGAGTTTGTGTCCCATTATGACATCAAAATAACAGCTACGGACTGTGGTCAGCCTCCTCTGTCCACATTCAAAACTCTGGTCGTCCAGATATCAGATGTGAATGATAATAGTCCAGAATTCTCCCAAAACCCTCTTGAGCTGTACTTAGTGGAGAATAACACCCCTGGTGCGTCCATATTCTCTGTAAGCGCCACTGATAAAGACTTGAATGAAAATGCAGCCATTTCATATCATATTGTTAGAGGCAAAGTGACAGAGAATGATATGACATCTTTCCTGAATATCAATTCTGACAATGGACATATTTCTGCTCTAAAAAGCTTTGACTTTGAAACCCTCAAAACATTCCAATTCCAAGTTGTAGCTACAGACTCTGGAACTCCGTCACTAAGCAGCAACGTCACAATACACGTGTTCATTCTGGATCAGAACGACAACGCTCCAGTGATACTGTATCCAGTCAGTGCTAACGGATCCGCTGAAGGTGTGGAGGAGATTCCCCGCAATATGAACGCAGGCCATTTGGTGACTAAAGTGAGAGCCTATGATGCTGATATAGGATATAACGGCTGGTTATTATTTTCACTGCAGGAAGTTACTGACCACAGTCTCTTTGCTTTGGACCGCTATACAGGACAGATAAGGACACTTCGGTCATTCACAGAGACAGACGAGGCTGAGCATAAACTGGTCATACTGGTAAAAGACAATGGGAACGTTTCACTCTCAGCAACAGCTACTGTGATTATCAACGCGGTGGAGCCTAAAGAGGCTTTTGCAGCTTCTGATGTTAAAAGCGCAGTAAAAGACGAGGAGGAGAACAGCATTACATTTTATTTGATCATAACTTTGGTTTCGGTTTCAGCACTTTTCATCATCAGTATCATCGTGTTGATTATAATGCAGTGCACCAAAGCCCCAGACTATTCCTCCAAGTACTTACAAGATGCGAATTACGACGGGACACTGTGCCACAGCATCCAGTACAGATCCGGAGACAAACGGTACATGTTAGTTGGACCCAGAATGAGTATAGGTTCTACTATAGTCCCGGGCAGCAATGGGAATACTCTAGTGGTACCCGACCACAGGAGAAGAGCTTCTGGAGAGGTAAGACATATATGTCTCTGTAATTGCATAGAAATCGCATAGATTATTGTCCCATTCTGTTTGTAAATTCTGATATTTCATTGAACTACGGGGTTTTGTTTGAGTGGGTCTATATGTTTTTTCGGAGCATGGCTTTGGCATTTTAACAAACCTATTCCTCTCACAGGTTCTGTCATTGAAATCAGCGGATCACTAGTCACCACGGCATTTGAAAGTGGTCGTTGTCCACGACAGTGGTTCCGAAACACTGTGCAGCTCAACGTGTTATTTGACATGTCACAGATTTATGTTTTAGTTGAGTTGTTACGCGTGGTGATGTTTTGGCATGAAACCCATTCTCCTAATGCGCATGGTGTCGCTGCTTTTCAGTGTTAGAAACATGCATTTTGTTTATATCCCTCCCTCTCTTTGTGGTGTTGCCTCATTTAAAACCATTCGAGTCGAGTGAAACGGGCACTGGCTTTTTGGAATGGAGAATACTATCTGCATGGATACTTGCTTGGAATTGTTTTGTGGATTAACTTGGCATCTTGATTTTTCTGGATGAAGCGGACTGTAATGGTTCCAAAATAACAGGGCTTGTCAAAATGGTAGACGGACAGAGAAGAGGGGCGCCTCTCTGGGCGATGCTGTCGTTTGTATTTTTGTTGTGCTTTTCCCGTGGAGCTTATTGTCAAATACGCTATTCTATCACGGAGGAGCCGAAAGAAGGTGCTTACGTGGGAGATCTAGCAAAGGATTTAGGGTTCAGTGTGGATATTCTGGCGGAGCGAAGGTTTCGGATTGTATCTGGCTCTAAGGAAGGTCTTTTGCAGATAAACCAAGACAATGGCATGTTGTATGTGAACAGAAACATCGACAGGGAGGAGCTGTGTGAGAAAAACAGTGTGTGTTTAATCAACCTAAAAACCGTCGCCGAAAATCCAATGGAAATACATTATGTTGAGGTAGAAATTACGGATATAAATGACCATTCTCCTAATTTTCCAGAAAATGAGAAACGCTTAGAGATAGCAGAGAATGCTGTGCTCCAAGGAACGCGCTTTCCTATTGATGCTGCGCGTGACCCTGATGTTGGAGCAAATAGTCTCAGTAAGTACACTCTCAGTCCAAACGATCACTTTGAGTTAGATGTTAAAACTCGCGGTGAGGATAAAATTCCTTTTTTGATTTTGAAAAAGCCGCTAGACAGAGAGCAGAAACCTGAAATTCGACTGATTTTGACTGCGTTTGACGGAGGTGAGACAGCAAGATCTGGCTCAGTCAATATAACAATACATGTGATTGATGTCAATGACAACGCACCAGTCTTTGACAGACAGGTGTATACGGTAACTTTATATGAAAATGCTCCCGTAGGTGCCTCAGTTCTAAAATTAAACGCCACGGATATAGATGATGGCGCCAACGGACAGGTTATATACACGTTTGATAACAGTCTTAAAAACAAAGCGTTCGATTTATTCGAGATAGATAATGTTACAGGTGAGATCACCGTAAAAGGATTAGTAGACTTTGAAGGGCAGAGTGTTTATGAAATTGACGTGCAGGCGTCTGACAAAGGTCCAGTTACTTTGACTGGTCACTGTAGTGTTGTAATTAAAGTGAAAGATGTAAATGACAACGCACCTGAGATGGACGTGACGTCCCTATCAAGCCAAGTCCCCGAGGATGCACGACCCGGTACAGCGGTAGCTCTTATCAGCGTGTCTGATATGGACTCTGGTGAAAACGGCTTAGTTATATGTACAATCTCAGACAACATCCCTTTCGAATTAAAACCGTATTTTCAGAAAAATATGTATTCTTTGATTACTAAAAGCAGATTGGACAGAGAGTCAGAGCTTATGTACACAGTGACTATAACTTCTACAGATAAAGGAGACCCATCACTGTCTTCCAACAAAACTATCACGGTCCATATTTCAGACGTTAATGATAACAGCCCTGTGTTTTCTCGGAGCCAGTATACTTTTTATGTACCGGAAAACAATGCTGCACACGCGTCTGTGTTTTCATTGAGTGCCTCAGACAGAGACCAGGATGGAAACGCTCGTGTGTATTACAACATTTGGAAAAGTGATGGCGACGCTCCTATTGTATCCTACCTAAATATTAATTCTGATGATGGTGACATTTACGCGCTAAAAAGCTTTGACTTTGAAACTCTCAAAACATTCCAATTCCAAGTTGTAGCTACAGACTCTGGAACTCCGTCACTAAGCAGCAACGTCACAGTGAACGTGTTCATTCTGGATCGGAACGACAACGCTCCAGTAATCTTGTATCCAGTCAGCGTTAACGGTTCCGCTGAAGGTGTGGAGGAGATTCCCCGCAATGTGAACGCAGGCCATTTGGTGACTAAAGTGAGAGCCTATGACGCTGATATAGGATATAACGGCTGGTTATTATTTTCACTGCAGGAAGTTACTGACCACAATCTCTTTGCTTTGGACCGCTATACAGGACAGATAAGGACACTTCGGTCATTCACAGAGACAGACGAGGCTGAGCATAAACTGGTCATACTGGTAAAAGACAACGGGAACGTTTCACTCTCAGCAACAGCTACTGTGATGATCAACGTTGTGGAGCCCAAAGAGGCTTTTGCAGCTTCTGATGTTAAAAGCGCAGTAAAAGACAAGGAGGAGAACAGCGTTACATTTTATTTGATCATAACTTTGGGATCAGTTTCAGCACTTTTCATCATCAGTATCGTCGTGTTGATTATAATGCAGTGCTCCAAAGCCCCAGACTATTCCCCCAAGTATTTACAAGATGCGAATTACGACGGGACACTGTGCCACAGCATCCAGTACAGATCCGGAGACAAACGATACATGTTAGTTGGACCCAGAATGAGTATAGGTTCTGCTATAGTTCCGGGCAGCAATGGGAATACTCTAGTGGTACCCGAACACAGGAGAAGAGCTTCTGGAGAGGTAAGGATATTAATACGTTCTTATACAAGTCACGTACATCGTGGATGGTCCTCATAAGCCATGTAGACTGAACTGTACAGTGCATTGAGTGTCTCAATACGATCATATTTACTTGGGTATGTTTTTAACTTGCTTTGGTGTTTAGATTTGTGTTCCGGTGTGTTTGTTTTAGTACTGTTTGGAGGGAATTGTCTTGCATTTATGTTTTGTAATTCATCAAGTGCCCTTTTAATACCATATATTTGCTTTAGAATTGGATGTGTGGGACATTCTAAATAAATCAAAACGGAATTCAAAGTTATTTCGCCATAGAGCTGTGTTTTTTGGACGCGTGGTATGTCGCTCTCGGTTAGGGTGGTTCTGAAACGCTCCGATGTTTCGCAGCTCTGCAGGAGAAAATATACCTTGCAGATAAAGCAATATGCTTCATTTGATCTTTTTGTAAATCTGTATCAGTTGCTATGTAGATAATATTAGCCTACATTTGGCCTACACACAAAGCCTACACACAATGTAAATGATTGATTGTCTGTCTGTATGTTTGTGCCGAAAATGCTACTGGTGCTGGAGTAGCCAATGTCCTGTATACAACCATGCAATCAATGTGTGGTAGAACGCATGGTGTCAGTGCTTAACTAGAATAACGCTCTTGAAAGCAATGCTCACGTCATACTTTTGCATCCTCCCCTTAGTTGGTTTATCATTCAGTAGCTAGCAGACAACTGTCGTGAGCAAGAAGGAGATATTTCATACACAATTGAACGGAACCAAAATGTTTTTTTAGAATAATGAGCTGTGATCCTTTTTGGGAATGCAATGGGTAAGGTTTCATTAATAATATAGGCATAGTGTTTCGTGCTGTGGATTCTTTTTGGACTAAATATCAGAAACATGGAACAAAGAGGATATGGGGCATGGTGGGAGCAACGACGGAGGCTTTGGACAATGGTTGCTTTGGTTCTCTTTTGGAGCGGAGCTTCAGCACAGATAAGATACTCCATCTCTGAAGAGCTTAAAGAAGGAACTGTCGTGGGGAATATAGCTAAGGATTTGGGAATAGATCTGAGCACCTTGAAGGGAAGGGGATTTCGAATCGTGTCTGGCTCGACCGAGCCCCTTTTCCAGGTAAACCAGAATGACGGCATCTTGTATGTGAACCGAAAGATAGACCGAGAGGAGGTGTGCGAACGGAGCAGCATGTGTTTAATCAACATGAAAACCGTTCTAGAGAACCCGCTGGAGATCCATTATATTGCGGTGGAGGTGTTAGATGTTAACGACCATTCTCCCAGCTTTCCCGAGAAAGAGAAAAGGTTAGAGATATTTGAGTCAGCGTTACCAGGGGCGCGATTTCAGCTCCAGGCTGCGCTCGACGCTGATGGTGGACAATACTCTGTTCAACAGTATAAACTCAGTCACAACGATCATTTCCGCTTGGAAGTTAAAGACCGAGGTGATGATGGCAAAATCCCTATATTAATATTACAAAAACCACTGGATAGAGAGGCTGTAAAGAGCCATATATTGCTGCTCACAGCTATTGATGGAGGAAAACCTCCAAGATCTGGAGACATGAGAATAACTGTAGATGTTCTTGATATCAATGATAACCCGCCTGTCTATACAAAGGATGCTTATTCAGTATTGGTGAATGAAAATACTATTGTTGGCACAACAATTGTACAGGTAAACGCCACCGATTTGGACGAGGGACAAAACGGTTTAGTAATTTACTCTTTTGGCAATAGCGTGAATAGTAAATTACGCAATCTCTTTGATCTGAACCCAGTTACAGGTGAAATCATTGTGAGAGGACTGATAGATTTTGAAGAAAAAGACAAATATGAACTCGATATACAGGCATCGGATAAAGGACTTGCACCAATGGCATCAGATAAAAGCGTAGTAATAAGGATAGTTGACGTCAATGACAATGCACCTGAGATTGAGGTGACATCATTTTCAAAGGCAATCGCCGAGGATTCTAGACCTGGAACCACAGTCGCGCTAATCAGTGTTAATGATTTGGACTCTGGTCTCAACGGGAAAGTTGTCTGCACTGTGATGGAAGACACAACTTTCAAACTAATGCCATCTCTACAGGAAAATATTTACTCTGTGGTCACAAAGTCAACACTGGATAGGGAAAAACATTATGAATATAATGTTACAATAGTCGCCAAAGACGCCGGCCAGCCGTCCTTGTCATCTGTAAAGACTATAAGCGTCATTATATCAGATGTGAATGATAACAGTCCAGAGTTTTCACTGAGCCCCTATACTTTCTATGTCACTGAGAATAACGATCCAGGCGCCTCACTTTTTTCCGTGAGTGCGTCAGATCTTGACATAAATGAAAACGCAATTATTTCATATCATATTCTGAGAGACGGTGGCGAGGAGAATAAATGGTCATCTTTTCTCAACATTAATCCTGAAAATGGAAACATTGTGGCGCTAAAAAGCTTTGACTTTGAAACGCTCAAAACATTTAAATTCCAAGTTGTAGCTACAGACTCTGGAACTCCGTCACTAAGCAGCAACGTCACAATAAACGTGTTCATTCTGGATCAGAACGACAACGCTCCAGTGATACTGTATCCAGTCAGTGCTAATGGTTCCGCTGAAGGTGTGGAGGAGATTCCCCGCAATGTGAACGCAGGCCATTTGGTGACTAAAGTGAGAGCCTATGACGCTGACATAGGATATAACGGCTGGTTATTATTTTCACTGCAGGAAGTTACCGAGCACAGTCTCTTTGCTTTGGACCGTTATACAGGACAGATAAGGACACTTCGGTTATTCACAGAGACAGACGAGGCTGAGCATAAACTGGTTATACTGGTAAAAGACAATGGGAACGTTTCACTCTCAGCAACAGCCACTGTGATTATCAACGTTGTGGAGCCCAAAGAGGCTTTTGCAGCTTCTGATGTTAAACGCGCAGTCAAAGACGATGAGGAGAACAGCGTTACATTTTATTTGATCATAACTTTGGGGTCGGTTTCAGCACTTTTTCTCATCAGTATCGTCACGTTGATTGTAATGCAGTGCTCCAAAGCCCCAGACAATTCATCCAAGTATTTACAAGATGCAAATTACGACGGGACACTGTGCCACAGCATCCAGTACAGATCCGGAGACAAACGGTACATGTTAGTTGGACCCAGAATGAGTATAGGTTCTACTATAGTCCCGGGCAGCAATGGGAATACTCTAGTGGTACCCGAACACAGGAGGAGAGCTTCTGGAGAGGTGAGAAGTTGAAAACGACTTTATAATTCACAATGCTCCTACACCTGACCATTGACATATAGTGGTGATAGTTTGAGTTGGAAAATTGCATAAACTATTGTTATTGTGTTTGTACGTATTTCATATTTCATTGACCGAAAGGGTTATGTGTGAGTTGGTCTAATTTGCTGTTTTTAAATAAGAGGGTTGTGTCTGTAACATGATCTCAGAGCTTGGCATGTAGAAATAACCGGCTTATTCACAGTCACTACACTCAGGACTTGCCGCTCAGGGCAGGCAGGGCGCTGTCCACCACGGTGGTGCTGAAACGTTGGGCTATTCAACCATAGAGAACGATAGAGGCCTATAGTGGCCAAAATTTCGTTTTAGCATGGGCAGCGCCATTGAGGGCTTCCACCATGCTTCCGCCATTTTAAAGTAGCCAAAGTAGTCAACTAGCTGGGGATTCCTATGGGTTGTAGCCTCAATAGCGCTGCCCATGCTGTCAAAGAGGCTATAATGGCACATATATAAAAATGAGTCCTCTATGTATCTCTATGAATTCAACACGTTGTTTGCATGGTGAAGTTTTGTCCCAAAAAAAGAAAGGATAGCATAAATAGCTCGATTTATTTATTATGGGAGACTTGCTGCATACTTCAGTACATTGTATTTAACGGAAGCTTTAAGACATATGAATCATGGGTCTGCCGAGTCCAGTCATCTCTATTCTAACCTTGTACTGACCTTTTTCCCTTATGCATTGTGCCAATATAGCATTCTGGGTGGGTTGGACTAGTAAAAGTAGGCCTAACATTATTAAACAACAGTGCAATGTGAGTTAGAATCGCATGGTGTCAGTACCCAACTATAACGCTTCTGGTAGAAATACTATCATCATGCTTTTGAGCCCTCCTCCTTGCTGGGTTGGTAGGTTTGATCGGTCTCTGGAGGTATACAGTCGTGCAGCTTCGTGGAGATAAAAATATCTGGAGTTGATATAAATAAAACTATCGTTTGTTTATTCGTTTTGGTATTTGGCGAACATTATGGATAGACAACGGTCTCCAATGAAGGAATAGTGGAGGTGCTGTGGATTATTGCTATTTGCCTTGAAAACATGGAACAAAGAGGATGCGGGGAATGGCGTGAGCGACCGCAGAGGGTTATCTACATGGTTGCTTTGGTTCTCTTTTGGAGCGGAGCTTCAGCACAGATAAGATACTCTATCTCTGAAGGGCTTAAGGAAGGGACTGTCGTGGGGAATATAGCTAAGGATTTAGGAATAGATCTGAGCCCCTTGAAGGAGAGGGGATTTCGAATCGTGTCTGGCTCGACCGAGCCCCTTTTCCAGGTAAACCAGAATGACGGCATCTTGTATGTGAACCGAAAAATAGACCGAGAGGAGGTGTGTGAACGGAGCAGCGTGTGTTTGATCAACCTAAAAACCGTTCTAGAGAACCCACTGGAGATCCATTATGTTGCGGTGGAGGTACTAGATGTTAACGACCATTCTCCCAGCTTTCCTGAGAAAGAGAATCGGTTAGAAATATACGAGTCCGCTTTACCTGGTGCACGATTTCAGTTGCAAGCTGCAGGTGATCCAGATGGTGGCCAGTACTCGGTTCAACAATATAAACTCAGTCATAATGATCATTTTCGTTTGGAGGTTAAAGATCGAGGAAGGGAAGGGAAAATTCCTATTCTAAATCTACTAAAGCCCCTAGACAGGGAAACTATGAAAAGGCATAAATTACAGCTGACAGCCATTGATGGAGGAAAACCTCCCAGGTCTGGGACTGTGGAAATAGTTATTGATGTTTTAGATGTAAATGATAATATGCCCGTTTTTACCAAAGACTCATACTCAGTGACGTTAAATGAAAATTCTGCAATAGGCACGACAGTCGTGCAAGTAACTGCTACGGATTTAGACGAGGGTTCGAATGCCGAGGTCTTTTACTCTTTCGGTAAAAATGTAAAAAACAAGATACGTAAACTATTCGATGTAAATGCGAATACGGGTGAGATAATTGTGAAACATTTGGTCGATTTCGAGCTACAAGACAGCTATGAGATTGACATACTGGCATCTGATAGAGGATCTGCACCTCTGACAACGGACAAAAGCGTAACAGTAAAGATTATTGACCTCAACGATAATGCACCTGAGATCGAGGTGACTTCTTTTTCGAACGCAATCCCCGAGGATTCTAGACCCGGTACCACCGTAGCACTAATCAGTGTTAATGATTTGGACTCTGGTCTTAATGGCAAAGTTATCTGCTCTTTAGTTGAGGACATACCATTTAAATTAATAACGTCTTTACAGGACAACATGTATTCTGTAGTCACCAAGTCATCACTGGATAGAGAGAAATTATCTCAATATGATCTAACAGTAGTTGCTAAAGACGCAGGCCAGCCTTCCTTGTCATCTGTAAAGACTATACGCGTCATTATATCAGATGTGAATGATAACAGTCCAGAGTTTTCACTGAGCCCCTATACTTTCTATGTCACTGAGAATAACGACCCAGGTGCCTCAGTATTTTCCGTGAGTGCATCAGATCCTGACATAGATGAAAACGCTGTTATTTCATATCATATTCTCAGAGACGGTGATGAGAACAAATGGTCATCTTTTCTCAACATTAATCCTGAAAATGGAAACATATTGGCGCTAAAAAGCTTTGACTTTGAAACTCTGAAAACATTCAAATTCCAAGTTGTAGCTACAGACTCTGGAACTCCATCACTAAGCAGCAACGTCACAATAAACGTGTTCATTCTGGATCGGAACGACAACGCTCCAGTGATCTTGTATCCAGTCAGTGCTAATGGTTCCGCTGAAGGTGTGGAGGAGATTCCCCGCAATATGAACGCAGGCCATTTGGTGACTAAAGTGAGAGCCTATGACGCTGATATTGGATATAACGGCTGGTTATTATATTCACTGCAGGAAGTTACTGACCACAGTCTCTTTGCTTTGGACCGCTATACAGGACAGATAAGGACACTTCGGTCATTCACAGAGACAGACGAGGCTGAGCATAAACTGGTCATACTGGTAAAAGACAACGGAAACGTTTCACTCTCAGCAACAGCTACTCTGATGATCAACGTTGTGGAGCCCAAAGAGGCTTTTGCAGCTTCCGATGTTAAAAGCGCAGTAAAAGACAAGGAGGAGAACAGCGTTACATTTTATTTGATCATTACTTTGGGATCAGTTTCAGCACTTTTCATCATCAGTATCATCGTGTTGATTATAATGCAGTGCTCCAAAGCCCCAGACTATTCCCCCAAGTATTTACAAGATGCGAATTACGACGGGACACTGTGCCACAGCATCCAGTACAGATCCGGAGACAAACGGTACATGTTAGTTGGACCCAGAATGAGTATAGGTTCTACTATAGTCCCGGGCAGCAATGGGAATGCTCTAGTGGTACCTGAACACAGGAGGAGAGATTCGGCAGAGGTAAGAAGATAAATACGTTTTTGTAATTCTTTGGTGTCATATTGTACTTACTATTTATATGGTGCTTAAACGCCTCAATTTGAAAATGGTATAGATTATTGTCCCGTTGTGTTTGTAAATTCAGACTGACATTTAATTGAACTAGGGTTATATTTGGTTATTGGTGTAGTCTGCTCTTAGGTTATCTCACAAGTTATTTCGTGAAAGTAGCCGGCTCATTCACAGCCTCTGCTTTCAGGGCTTGTCGCTGTCTACGACCGTAGAGCTGAAGCTCTGTTTAGTTCAACACCCTGTTAGACTGTTCAACGTTTTCCAAAAAGTAATGGCATATAATACTTAAAGTGGATACTTAATTTATTCTTATTTACTCTTTTTTACGTGTGGGACACTTGTAGCATACTTGAGAAGACGAAAAGTTGCTTTATACTAGTATAAGACGCAGTGTACATAATTGTTTGTGACGTGTATGCTGACTTTATCCATACGGTTTTTGCTGTAAAGTTTTTACTGATATCTATTGTGTCAAGATGCCACTAAAAAGCATCAACGATAGGGTAATACGAGGTAGAATCGCATGGTGTCAGTACCCAACTAGAATAATGCTCCTGGTAGATTTCCTCCCGTCATACTTTTGAGTCCGCCCACTTGCTCCTTAGCTTATTCAATCACTGGAGGAATACAGTCATGCAGCATCGTGGGGAGAGTAAGGTTTAAAATTGACATTCTTAAAACACTACTGGATAATCAGCATTGGTCATATTTGCTAAAATAATGGACAGACAACTGACACAAATGGAGTAATAGTGAAGTGCTGTGGATTTTTGCTATTTATTCTAAAACATGGAACAAAGAGGATGCGGGGCATGGCGAGAGCGACAGCCATGGGCCACCTACATGGTTGCTTTGGTTCTATTTTGGAGCGGAGCTTCAGCTCAGATAAGATACTCCGTCTCTGAAGAGCTTAAGGAAGGAACTGTCGTGGGGAATATAGCTAAGGATTTGGGAATAGTTCTGAGCACCTTGAAGGAAAGGGGATTTCGAATCGTGTCTGGCTCGACCGAGCCCCTTTTCCAGGTAAACCAGAATGATGGCATCTTGTATGTGAACCGAAAAATAGACCGAGAGGAGGTGTGCGAACGGAGCAGCGTGTGTTTGATCAACCTGAAAACCGTTCTAGAGAACCCGCTGGAGATCCATTATGTCGCAGTGGAGGTGTTAGATGTTAACGACCATTCTCCCAGCTTTCTCGAGAAACAGAAACGGTTAGAGATATTTGAGTCAGCGTTACCAGGGGCGCGTTTTCAGCTCCAAGCTGCGCGCGACCCAGACAGTGGGCCATACTCTGTTCAACAATATAAACTGAGTAACAATGATCATTTTCGTATAGAAGTTAAAGATAGAGGTGAAGACCGTAAAATGCCTATTTTGATTTTACAAAAGCAGTTAGATAGGGAGTCTACTAAGAATCATAGATTATTGCTTACAGCCATTGATGGAGGAAAACCAGCGAGGTCTGGGACTATCGAAATAATTGTTGAGGTATTGGACGTTAATGATAACTCACCTGTCTTCACTAAAGACTTATACTCTGTAATACTTGGTGAAAATTCTCCTATCGGTGCAACTGTCATTCAGGTAAAAGCAACCGATTTGGACGAAGATGCAAATGGTGAAATTATATATTCATTTGGTAAGGAAATAGATGACAAGGTACTGCGACTATTTGGATTGGATCCGAATACTGGTGAACTAACTGTAAAAGGTCTGATAGATTATGAGGTAAACAACATCTATGACATTGATATACAGGCATCTGATAAGGGATCCGTTCCATTGACAACAGACAAAAGCGTAATAGTAAAGATTTTTGACGTGAATGATAATGCGCCCGAGATAGAGGTGACATCATTTTCTAAGGCAATCCCCGAAGATTCCAGACCCGGAACTACTGTAGCACTAATAAGTGTTAATGATTTAGACTCTGGTCTCAATGGGAAAGTTATATGTTCTGTATTGGAAGACTTTCCTTTCAAGCTAATGTCGTCTTTACAGGATAACATGTACTCTATAGTCACCAATTCACCACTGGATAGAGAGAAAGTATCTCAATATGATCTAACAATAGTAGCCAAAGACGCAGGCCAGCCGTCCCTGTCATCTGTAAAGACCATAAGCGTCCTTGTATCAGATGTGAATGATAACAGTCCAGAGTTTTCACTGAGCCCCTATACTTTCTATGTCACTGAGAATAACGACCCAGGCGCCTCAGTATTTTCTGTGAGTGCTTCAGATCGTGACATAGATGAAAACGCTTTTATTTCATATCATATTCCTAGAGACAGTGGCGAGGAGAAGAAATGGGCATCTTTTCTCAACATAAATTCAGAAAATGGGAACATAGTTGCTCTTAAAAGCTTTGATTTTGAAACCATCAAAACATTTAAATTCCAAGTTGTAGCTACAGACTCTGGAACTCCGTCACTAAGCAGCAACGTCACAATACACGTGTTCATTCTGGATCAGAACGACAACGCTCCAGTGATCTTGTATCCAGTCAGCGCTAACGGTTCCGCTGAAGGTGTGGAGGAGATTCCACGCAATGTGAACGCAGGCCATTTGGTGACTAAAGTGAGAGCTTACGATGCTGATATAGGATATAACGGCTGGTTATTATTTTCACTGCAGGAAGTTACTGACCACAGTCTCTTTGCTTTGGACCGCTATACAGGACAGATAAGGACACTTCGGTCATTCACAGAGACAGACGAGGCTGATCATAAACTGGTCATACTGGTAAAAGACAATGGGAACGTTTCACTCTCAGCAACAGCTACTGTGATTATCAACGTTGTGGAGCCCAAAGAGGCTTTTGCAGCTTCTGATGTTAAACGCGCAGGGAAAGAAGACGATGAGATCAGTGTTACATTTTATTTGATCATATCTTTGGGGTCGGTTTCAGCACTTTTTCTCATCAGTATCGTCGTGTTGATTATAATGCAGTGCTCCAAAGCCCCAGACTATTCCTCCAAGTACTTACAAGATGCGAATTACGACGGGACACTGTGCCACAGCATCCAGTACAGATCCGGAGACAAACGGTACATGTTGGTTGGACCCAGAATGAGTATAGGTTCTACTATAGTCCCGGGCAGCAATGGGAATACTCTAGTGGTACCCGACCACAGGAGGAGAGCTTCTGGAGAGGTAAGAAGTTGAAAACGACCTTTTCAGAATTCTCCTGACCATTGAAATGCTGAGAGTGTATGTATGAGTTTGATGACGGTGTACTATTCTCATTCTGTTTGTTAGAATTTCTGGTGGATATTTTATTTTATTTTATTTATTTCACCTTTATTTAACCAGGTAAACCAGTTGAGAACAAGTTCTCATTTACAACTGCGACCTGGCCAAGATAAAGCAAAGCAGTGCGATAAAAACAACAACACAGAGTTACATATGGGGTAAAACAAAACAAAGTAAAAAAATACAACAGAAATACATATATATACAGTGTGTGCAAATTTAGCAAGTTATGGAGGTAAGGCAATAAAATAGGCTATAGTGCAAAATAATTACAATTAGTATTAACACTGGAATGATAGATGTGCAAGAGATGATGTGCAAATAGAGATACTGGGGTACAAATGAGCAAAATAAATAACAATATAGGGATGAGGTAGTTGGGCGGGCTAATTTCAGATGGGCTGTGTACAGGTGCAGTGATCGGTAAGGTGCTCTGACAACTGATGCTTAAAGTTAGTGAGGGAGATAAGTGTCTCCAGCTTCAGAGATTTTTGCAATTTGTTCCAGTCATTGGCAGCAGAGAACTGGAAGGAATTGTGGCCAAAGGAGGTGTTGGCTTTGGGGATGACCAGTGAGATATACCCGCTGGAGCGCAGACTACGGGTGGGTGTTGCTATGGTGACCAATGAGCTAAGATAAGGCGGGGATTTGCCTAGCAGTGATTTATAGATGGCCTGGAGCCAGTGGGTTTGGCGACGAATATGTAGTGAGGACCAGCCAACAAGAGCGTACAGGTCACAGTGGTGGGTATTATATGGGGCTTTGGAGACAAAACGGATGGCACTGTGATAGACTACATCCAATTTGCTGAGTAGAGTGTTGGAGGCTATTTTGTAAATGACATCGCCGAAGTCAAGGATCGGTAGGATAGTCAGTTTTACGAGGGCATGTTTGGCAGCATGAGTGAAGGAGGCTTTGTTGCGAAATAGGAAACCGATTCTAGATTTAACTTTGGATTGGAGATTCTTAATGTGAGTCTGGAAGGAGAGTTTACAGTCTAACCAGACACCTAGATATTTGTAGTTGTCCACATACTCTAGGTCAGACCCGTCGAGTGTAGTGATTCTAGTCGGGTGGGCGGGTGCAAGCAGCGTTCGGTTGAAGAGCATGCATTTAGTTTTACTAGTGTTTAAGAGCAGTTGGAGGCTACTGAAGGAGTGTTGTATGGAATTGAAGCTTGTTTGGAGGTTTGTTAACACAGTGTCCAATGAAGGGCCAGATGTATACAAAATGGTGTCGTCTGCGTAGAGGTGGATCTGAGAGTCACCAGCAGCAAGAGCGACGTCATTGATATACACAGAGAAAAGAGTCGGCCCAAGAATTGAACCCTGTGGCACCCCCATAGAGACTGCCATAGGTCCAGACAACAGGCCCTCCGATTTGACACATTGAACTCTATCTGAGAAGTAGTTGGTGAACCAGGCGAGGCAGTCATTTGAGAAACCAAGGCTATTTAGTCTGCCAATAAGAATGCGGTGGTTGACAGAGTCGAAAGCCTTGGCCAGGTCAATGAAAACGGCTGCACAGTACTGTCTATTATCGATCGCGGTTATAATATAGTTTAGGACCTTGAGCGTGGCTGAAGTGCACCCATGACCAGCTCGGAAACCGGATTGCATAGCGGAGAAGGTACGGTGGGATTCGAAATGGTCGGTGAACTGTTTGTTGACTTGGCTTTCAAAAACGTTTGAAAGGCAGGGCAGGATGGATATGGGTCTGTAACAGTTTGGATCTAGAGTGTCACCCCCTTTGAAGAGGGGATGACCCTGGATATTTCATTGACCAAGAAAGGGTTATGTGTGAATGTGTGAACCATTTTTGGTTTTTATGTAGGCTAAAGAGTTTTTTTTAGCTGTAATATGATTCGCCGAAAGAGACACTTCTCTCAGGACAGGTCGCTGTCCATCACAGTGGTGCTGAAACGCTGTCCAGTTTAACGTGCTATTTAACTGGTGAAAGTTTGTCTAAAAGTGACGACGTATAAATGCTCTTAAAGTGGATATTTTACTCTTCTTCATTCTTATTTCCTTGTGAGACACTTGTTGCATACTTGAGTAGGGTAAATGTTGCTTTATGTTTGCAAAAAGACGCATTGTACATATGGTTTGTAACGTGTACACCGACTTTTAAAAAGATCAATACAACTTTTGCAGTAAAGTTTTATCTCATATGTATCGTGGCAAGATTCCATTAGTAAGCTTCAACCATAGTGTAATGTGAGGTAGAATCACATGGTGTCAGTACCCAACTACAATAACGATCGTGATAGAAATGATTATCATAATGATTTTGAGTCCGCCCACTTGCTGCTTAGCTTATTCAGTCGCTGGAGAAATGCAGTTATGCAGCATCGTGGGGAGAGTAAGGTTTAAAATTGACATTCTTAAAACACTATTGGATCATGAACATTTCTCATATTTGCTAATATAATGGATGGACAACTGACACAAATGAAGGAATAGTGGAAGTGCTCTGAACTCTCGTTATTTATTCTAAAACATGGAACAAAGAGGGTACAGGGCATGGCGAGAGCGACAGCCGTGGGCCACCTACATGGTTGCTTTGGTTCTATTTTGGAGCGGAGCTTCAGCTCAGATAAGATACTCCGTCTCTGAAGCGCTTAAGGAAGGAACTGTCGTGGGGAATATAGCTAAGGATTTGGGAATAGATCTGAGCACCTTGAAGGAGAGGGGATTTCGAATCGTGTCTGGCTCGACCGAGCCCCTTTTCCAGCTAAACCAGAATGATGGCATCTTGTATGTGAACCGAAAAATAGACCGAGAGGAGGTGTGTGAACGGAGCAGGATGTGTTTGATCAACCTGAAAACCGTTCTAGAGAACCCGCTGGAGATCCATTATGTCGCAGTCGAGGTGTTAGATGTTAACGACCATTCTCCCAGCTTTCCCGAGAAAGAGAAAAGGTTAGAGATTTCAGAATCTGCGTTACCTGGGGCGCGATTTCAGCTACAAGCAGCTCGTGACCCAGACGGTGGGATATATTCCGTTCAACAATATAAACTGAGTCAAAATGATCATTTCCGTTTAGAGGTTAAAGATCGAGGCGAAGACCGTAAAACCCCAAGTCTTATTTTACAGAAACCACTAGATAGAGAGGCTGTAAAGAGCCATACATTGCTCCTCACAGCTATTGATGGAGGAATACCTCCAAGATCTGGAGACATGAGAATAACTGTAGATGTATCAGATGTCAATGATAACCCCCCGGTTTTTACTAAAGATACATACTCTGTATTGTTGAATGAAAGCGCTCCTTTAGGAACAACCGTCATACAGGTACACGCCACTGATTTGGACGAGGGTTCTAACGGTGAAGTTCTCTATTCCTTTGGTAATGACGTGGAAGGAGAGGCCCTGGAATGTTTTGATTTAGACCCGATTACTGGCGAAATAATTGTAACAGGACTTATTGATTTTGAAGAAAATAACATATATGAGATCGATATACAAGCGTCAGACAAAGGGGCAGCTACTTTGACAACAGACAAAACTGTAATTATTAGAATTGTGGACGTCAACGATAATGCACCTGAAATTGAAGTTACATCTTTCTCTAACTCAATCCCAGAGGATTCTAGACCTGGTACCACTGTAGCTCTAATCAGTGTTAATGATTTGGACTCCGGTCTCAATGGGAAAGTTCTCTGCTCTCTAATTGAGGACAACCCTTTCAAATTAACGCAATCTTTACAAGACAGCATGTATTCTGTAGCCACCAATTCACCTCTGGATAGGGAAAAACAGTCTGAATATGATCTAACAATAGTTGCTAAAGACGCAGGCCAGCCGTCCCTGTCATCTGTAAAGACTATTAGTGTTGTTGTATCAGATGTGAATGATAACAGTCCAGAGTTTTCACTGAGCCCCTATACTTTCTATGTCACTGAGAATAACGACCCAGGCGCCTCAGTATTTTCTGTGAGCGCGTCAGATCGTGACATACATGAAAACGCTCTTATTTCATATCATATTCTCAGAGACGGTGGTGATGAGAACAAATGGGCATCTTTCCTCAACATAAATCCAGAAAATGGAAACATTTTGGCGCTAAAAATCTTTGACTTTGAAAAGCTCAAAACATTCCAATTCCAAGTTGTAGCTACAGACTCTGGAACTCCGTCACTAAGCAGCAACGTCACAATAAACGTGTTCATTCTGGATCAGAACGACAACGCTCCAGTGATACTGTATCCAGTCAGTGCTAACGGTTCCGCTGAAGGCGTGGAGGAGATTCCCCGCAATATGAACGCAGGCCATTTGGTGACTAAAGTGAGAGCCTATGACGCTGATATTGGATATAACGGCTGGTTATTATTTTCAATGCAGGAAGTTACTGACCACAGTCTCTTTTCTTTGGACCGCTATACAGGACAGATAAGGACACTTCGGTCATTCACAGAGACAGACGAGGCTGATCATAAACTGATCATACTGGTAAAAGACAATGGGAACGTTTCACTCTCAGCAACAGCTACTGTGATGATCAACGCTGTGGAGCCCAAAGAGGCTTTTGCAGCTTCTGATGTTAAAAGCGCAGTAAAAGACGACGAGGAGAACAGCGTTACATTTTATTTGATCATTACTTTGGGATCAGTTTCAGCGCTTTTTCTCATCAGTATTATCGTGTTGATTATAATGCAGTGCTCTAAAACCCCAGACTATTCCTCCAAGTATTTACAAGATGCGAATTACGACGGGACACTGTGCCACAGCATCCAGTACAGATCCGGAGACAAACGGTACATGTTGGTTGGACCCAGAATGAGTATAGGTTCTACTATAGTCCCGGGCAGCAATGGGAATACTCTAGTGGTACCCGACCACAGGAGGAGAGCTTCAGGAGAGGTAAGGAGTTGAAAACAACCTTGTATTTCACTATCATCCCGTACCCTCTATTGAGGCTGATTTATTAGCAACATTTTTAGGCATTTGTGAGTATTTTAAATAGGCCTATGTTGTTTTGACGTAAGAGGGTTGTTGGTTCTGACATGATCTCACAATAGAAGTAGCTCGTTCATTTACAGCCACTGCTCACTGGGCGCTGTCCACCATTGTGGATCTGAAATGTTGGGAACTTCAATGCGCTATTTGATGAATGCTTGCCAAAAGGTGATGACATGTAAACTATCTTCTTTCTCTATGAATCTTTCTCAATTTTATTTCCTTGTGGGACACTTGTTGCATTCTTGAGTAACACTTTAGTTATTGTAAAGACATCATGATGTGTTATATTCAACCAGAACTCCCATTTCTATACACCTTTTGCAGGAACGTTTTGTCAAAAATGTATTGTGCCAAGATAGTTTTCAGTATTGAAATATACAAATGTAAACTCTTAAACGATAGTGTAATGTGAGGTAGTATCGCATGGTGTCAGTACCCAACTAGAATAACATTCCTTGAACATTTTCTCCTGTCATATTTTGAGTCCGCCCCCTTGTTGGTTTCGTAGATTATTCAGTTGCTGGAGGAAGTCAGTCATGCAGCATCCTGGGGAGAATAATATCTTAAATTGCCAGCATAAATATAACTTTGGAAAATTAGCTTTGGTTATAGTCACGAATGTAATGGATAGAGAGTTTCCTTCGATTGAGGCATAGTGGAAGTACTGTATACAATATTTACTTATCTTGAAAACATGGAACAAAGAGGATTCGGGGCATGGAGGCAGCGACGGCAGTGGGTCGTCTTCATGGTTGCTTTGGTTCCCTTTTGGAGCGGGGCGTCGGCACAAATAAGATACTCCATCTCTGAAGAGCTTAAGGAAGGAACTGTCGTGGGGAATATAGCTAAGGATTTGGGAATAGATCGGAGTACCTTGAAGGAAAGGGGATTTCGAATCGTGTCTGGCTCGACCGAGCCCCTTTTCCAGGTAAACCAGAATGACGGCATCTTGTATGTGAACCGAAAAATAGACCGAGAGGAGGTGTGCGAACGGAGCAACGTGTGTTTGATCAACATGAAAACCGTTCTAGAGAACCCTCTGGAGGTCCATTATGTCGCAGTGGAGGTGTTAGATGTTAACGACCATTCTCCCAGCTTTCCCGAGAAAGAGAAACGGTTAGAGATATTTGAGTCAGCCTTACCAGGGGCGCGATTTCAGCTACAACCTGCCCGCGACCCAGATGGTGGAATATATTCTGTTCAACAATATAAACTTAGCCACAACGATCATTTCCGTTTAGAAGTTAAAGACCGTGGAAAGGATGGTAAAATCCCTATTCTAAATCTACAGAAACCACTAGATAGAGAAGCTTTGAAAAGGCATACATTACTGCTCACAGCCATTGATGGAGACAAACCTCCCAAGTCTGGTACTATAGAAATATTAGTGGACGTTTTAGATGTTAACGATAATATGCCTGTTTTCACAAAAGAGTCGTACTCTGTGACTCTAAATGAAAATTCTCCTATTGGCACAACAGTCATACAAGTCAACGCTACGGATTTGGACGAGGGTTCAAACGGTGAAATAATGTATTCTTTTGGTAGTAATGTGAACAGTAAGTTACGTGAACTTTTTGAAGTAGATGCTATTTCAGGTGAGATAATTGTCAAAGAATGGATCGATTTTGAAATAGATGACAGCTATGAGATTGATATACAGGCATCTGATAAGGGATCTGCTCCCCTGACAGCAGACAAAAGCGTAACAGTAAAGATAGTTGACCTGAATGATAATGCGCCCGAGATAGAGGTGACGTCCTTTTCTAACGCAATCCCCGAGGATTCTAGACCCGGTACCACTGTAGCACTAATCAGTGTCAGTGATAAGGACTCTGTTCTCAATGGGAAAGTTCTCTGTTCTATAAGCGATGGTGTCCCGTTCACTCTAACACTGTCTTCACAGGATAACATGTATTCGGTAGTCACCAAGTCAACTCTGGATAGGGAAAAACAGTCTGAATATGATCTAACAATAGTTGCTAAAGACGCCGGCCAGCCGTCCTTGTCATCTGTAAAGACTATAAGCGTCATTATATCAGATGTGAATGATAACAGTCCAGAGTTTTCACTGAGCCCCTATACTTTCTATGTCACTGAGAATAATGATCCAGGTTTCTCAGTATTTTCCGTCAGTGCCTCAGATCGTGACATAAATGAAAACGCTCTTATTTCATATCATATACCGAGAGTCGGTGGCACCGATAATAAATTGGCATCTTTTCTCAACATCAATTCAGAAAATGGGAACATTGTGGCGCTAAATAGCTTTGACTTTGAAACTCTCAAAACATTCCAATTCCAAGTTGTAGCTACAGACTCTGGAACTCCGTCACTAAGCAGCAACGTCACAATAAACGTGTTCATTCTGGATCAGAACGACAACGCTCCAGTGATCTTGTATCCAGTTAGCGCTAACGGCTCAGCTGAAGGTGTGGAGGAGATTCCACGCAATGTGAACGCAGGCCATTTGGTGTCTAACGTGAGAGCCTATGACGCTGATATAGGATATAACGGCTGGTTATTGTTTTCACTGCAGGAAGTTACTGACCACAGTCTCTTTGCTTTGGACCGCTATACAGGACAGATAAGGACACTTCGGTCATTCACAGAGACAGACGAGGCTGATCATAAACTGATCATACTGGTAAAAGACAATGGGAACGTTTCACTCTCAGCAACAGCTACTGTGATGATCAACGTTGTGGAGCCCAAAGAGGCTTTTGCAGCTTCTGATGTTAAAAGCGCAGTAAAAGACGACGAGGAGAACAGCGTTACATTTTATTTGATCATTACTTTGGGATCAGTTTCAGCGCTTTTTCTCATCAGTATTATCGTGTTGATTATAATGCAGTGCTCTAAAACCCCAGACTATTCCTCCAAGTATTTACAAGATGCGAATTACGACGGGACACTGTGCCACAGCATCCAGTACAGATCCGGAGACAAACGGTACATGTTGGTTGGACCCAGAATGAGTATAGGTTCTACTATAGTCCCGGGCAGCAATGGGAATACTCTAGTGGTACCCGAACACAGGAGACGGGCGTCTGGAGAGGTAAGATGTTGACCACATTGCCATGAGTAACAACTCGTTAGTTGTCAGTATTTTCAATCTAAGTACTGTTTCTGATGGTTACAGGATCTGTGCCCCCAGGGACTGAATGTATGAGTAGTCTACGGAGTGGCAAATATGATAGCCATTACTGTAGGTGGCAAAAGCGTGCACTTGTTTGTGTTATTATCTGAATGAGTCGATTAGAAATATTGTTTATACCTCAGAGGGCGCTATCCCAAGGTTTTTGCTCGTTTAAAGACGCTGCACTCGGGACTTCTGCTGTCCATGGTGCTGAAACCTGGCGGAGTTCATTCGTCATTTTCGTTTTGACAAAACTCTCCTGAAATGGTTAAAGACACTTTGTAGTTACACTTAGGCTATAGAAGAAGCATTTTCAGTCTTTATTGACATTGTCCAAACTATGTAATTTAGTTCTATGTAGGACACTTCTTGCAAACTTCTAAACATCAACCAACATACACACCCTGTAGTCTCATAAAGAGCTTCCCCATGCATGTCGCCGTCTTTGCCTAACCAGTACAACTGCTTATAATGTAGTTTTTTTCTTTTACAATGTTTTGTTTCGAAATAGCACTCGGAATTTGGGAAGTAAAATATCCTAAAGGGTGTAATTACCTTACGCAATCCTGCAATATGAGGCGGAAACGCATGGTGTCAGTGCGCAAGTAGAAGAAGGGTTATGAAGAACTCTATTGGTCATACTTTTGAGTCCTCCCTTTATAGCTGGTTTGGTATTTCGTCGCTAGCGTACTACAGCCGTGAGCTTCGAGGATACATTGTAATTTAAAACCTTTCATTGCCAACATATTCTAAGATAACGAGCTGTAATTATATTTGGCAGCGCAATTAATAAAATGGCGTTGCCGTTAGAGGCATAGTGGAAGTGCTGTGGATTTTTCTTTAACCTTAAAAACATGGAACAAAGAGGATGCGGGGCATGGTGGGAGCGACGGCAGAGGGTCGTTTTCATGTTTGCTTTGGTTCTCTTTTGGAGCGGGGCATCTGCACAGATAAGATACTCCATCTCTGAAGAGCTTAAGGAAGGAACTGTCGTGGGGAATATAGCTAAGGATTTGGGAATAGTTCTGAGCACCTTGAAGGAAAGGGGATTTCGAATCGTGTCTGGCTCGACCGAGCCCCTTTTCCAGGTAAACCAGAATGAAGGCATCTTGTATGTAAACCGAAAAATAGACCGAGAGGAGGTGTGCGAACGGAGCAGCGTGTGTTTGATCAACATGAAAACCGTTCTAGAGAACCCGCTGGAGATCCATTATGTCGCAGTGGAGGTGTTAGATGTTAACGACCATTCTCCCAGCTTTCCCGAGAAAGAGAAACGGTTAGAGATTTCCGAGTCCAGGTTACCGGGGGCGCGATTTCAGCTACAAGCAGCGCGGGACCCAGATGAAGGTCCATTCTCCGTTCAACAATATAAACTGAGTCACAATGATCATTTTCGTTTGGAAGTTAAAGACCGAGGTGAGGACGGTAAAATTCCGTTTTTGGTTTTACAGAAGCCACTAGATAGAGAATCTGTAAGAAGCCATAAATTACTCCTCACTGCCATTGATGGTGGAAAACCACCCAGATCTGGAACTCTCGAAATATCAGTGGATGTACTGGATGTTAATGACAATACTCCTGTGTTCACTAAAGATATATATTCTGTAAGTTTAAACGAAAACGCTCCTTTGGGAACTATGGTCATAAAGGTAAATGCCACCGATTTAGATAGTGGCCAAAACGGGAAAGTAATTTACTCATTTGGCAATGACGTCAACAGCAAGTTAAGGACACTTTTTGATGTAGACACCATTACAGGTGAAATAACTGTGAAAGGACAAATAGATTTTGAAGAAAGGGATAGCTATCTGATTGATATACAGGCATCAGATCAAGGACAACTTCCTCTGACAACAGACAAAAGCGTAAAAATTAAAATCGTTGACCTCAACGACAATGCACCTGAGATAGAGGTGACATCATTTTCTAAGGCAATTCCCGAAGATTCTAGGCCCGGAACCACGGTGGCACTGATTAGTGTTACTGATTTGGACTCTGGTCTCAATGGGAAAGTTCTCTGCCATGTATTGGAAGACGTACCTTTCACACTATTGCCGTCTGTACATGATAACATGTACTGTGTAGTCACCAAGTCACCACTGGATAGAGAGAAAGTATCTCAATATGATCTAACAATAGTAGCCAAAGACGCAGGCCAGCCGTCCCTGTCATCTGTAAAGACTATAAGCGTCATTATATCAGATGTGAATGATAACAGTCCAGAGTTTTCACTGAGCCCCTATACTTTCTATGTCACTGAGAATAACGACCCAGGCGCCTCAGTATTTTCTGTGAGTGCGTCAGATCGTGACATACATGAAAACGCTCTTATTTCATATCATATTCTCAGAGACGGTGGTGATGAGAACAAATGGGCATCTTTCCTCAACATAAATCCAGAAAATGGAAACATTTTGGCGCTAAAAAACTTTGACTTTGAAACTTTAAAAACATTCAAATTCCAAGTTGTAGCTACAGACTCTGGAACTCCATCACTAAGCAGCAACGTCACAATAAACGTGTTCATTCTGGATCGGAACGACAACGCTCCAGTGATCTTGTATCCAGTCAGCGCTAACGGATCCGCTGAAAGTGTGGAGGAGATTCCACGCAATGTGAACGCAGGCCATTTGGTAACTAAAGTGAGAGCCTATGATGCTGATATAGGATATAACGGCTGGTTATTATTTTCAATGCAGGAAGTTACTGACCACAATCTCTTTGCTTTGGACCGCTATACAGGACAGATAAGGACTCTTCGGTCATTCACAGAGACAGACGAGGCTGAGCATAAACTGGTCGTACTGGTAAAAGACAATGGGAACGTTTCACTCTCAGCAACAGCTACTGTGATTATCAACGCGGTGGAGCCCAAAGAGGCTTTTGCAGCTTCTGATGTTAAAAGCTCAGTAAAAGACGAAGAGGAGAACAGCATTACGTTTTATTTGATCATATCTTTGGGATCAGTTTCAGCACTTTTCATCATCAGTATCCTCGTGCTGATTTTAATGCAGTGCTCCAAAGCCCCAGACTATTCCTCCAAGTATTTACAAGATGCGAATTACGACGGGACACTGTGCCACAGCATCCAGTACAGATCCGGAGACAAACGGTACATGTTAGTTGGACCCAGAATGAGTATAGGTTCCACTATAGTCCCGGGCAGCAATGGGAATACTCTAGTGCTACCCGACCACATGAGAAGAGCTTCTGGAGAGGTAAGGAGGTCATCAATCTAAAATATATCAAAATCTGCTATGAGTGGCCTAATATAGTTTATTTTGTCCTGTCATGGATGTCTCAATTAGCTGACTGTGTAAGGAAGTGGACAGGCCTACTGTATATCATATATTGGTGACTTGGCTGTCATGCTGTAACATGAGACGCATTGGTGATGAAATATCAGTCAGAAAAGGAGTATAGGACTTTATTTCATTGGACATGCCACATGACAGCCCATTACTAACCCATCTGTTTTAACTAAACAACTCACTTTGGATAGGTAGGCTGGTCTGATCCTATATGGTTAGAGGTGAGCAGGAAAGAGGATTGTTATCTCAGGTATACATGTTGGTTCCAGTCTGCTTGTTAAGGAGGGTCAGCCTGAGCGTGGTAGTGTATTGATACAACGTTGATACTTGTTAATAAAACAAGGGAAAATATCCATATAATTCATAGATTAGTGAACCTGCTCAGGCCAACACGTGACCAATAAATATTTAGACTATTAGTAGGTAAAATATAATATTGACCGTAGGTCAGTGGATGGGTCTAACTTCAGCCTCATACTCACAGAGCCATACATTGAGCCTTATTTACAGGGCCTTGATCCATGTATTTCCCTCTTCAGCTTGTGTTGTTGCCTTGAAGGGAGCTATTTCAGCAATTAAAGGCTTTCATAATCTTTATGTGGGGCTATGCCCCCTCAGAAAGAGAGTATTGGAGATTAAATGCAACCTTAAAGCCTATGACACTATCATATGGGCCCATTTTCCAGACAGTCAAGTTGTTTTGGTTTCTAACAATCTAGCTGTGCCCTTTAAGGATGTCAACTGAATAATGTGATGGCTGTTGTTGTTTTAATTAGATGGGTTATTAGTCTGTCTTATCATGTAGCATGTAGCTTCATAAGAGAACAGTGGCGTGTGAGTGTGTGTGTGTGAGTGAAAGAGTACGAGTGAGCGGACATCTGGGGCGATTGATTTGTGAGTCGCCCTTCGTGCCCGCTCCCATACTCTATAATTCTGTATCTTTTTGTTACTAATTTGTATACAGGTAGACCAGAGGGGCCGAGTATCTGATTGGCAGATGAGTGGCAAATCTGATTAGAAGCACCTGCTGCTCATCTGTTGTTCTTTACAAATGCTGTTTTGAATTAAATACAATTTTACCTACACACTGAAGAAGGTTGTTAAAACGAAACGTCTGTGTACGATATCCCTGATTCAGTAAAAAATGCGACATATTTTTGAGTGAGAACCCATTACACCTCTTTGTTTGTCTGAATGAGCATGAGTGTCTGAAGGCCTTCTCTCTGTGGTGTTAACTGATAATGCGGGCCGTGCGCTGCTGAGGCTGTGTGAGAGAGAGAGAGAGAGAGAGAGAGAGAGAGAGAGAGAGAGCTGGCCGCCTCTGGCGCATGGTGACTCACATCCACTAGCCAGCCGGGTGGGGTGAGGTGGGGGTGCTCTGCTTGGCTTCACTAGGGAGCTGCCATTCATTATTTTCATGGGGCTTGGAACGCAACCAGCGACGAATGTTCCTTCTCTGTTCACTCTGTCTGTGTTCTGATGCAGTGTGGTTAAAATAACAAGGGGCATAGCTCCGGTGCCCTTGTTTTGATTTTCAAAAATGGTCTCATGTTATTGGCTAACACAGAGGTTGTGTTTCATCAGCTATGAGAAGGCGGAGTCTAGGCGATGGTGGTGTTGCCCTAGCAACGCACTGGCAGAATTACCTCTCTGTATTCGCTGGTTTTCCACCGCATGTCTACGAGCCTCGCGTGCAGTGCAGCGGTCTCAGCAACAAGAGAGCGGGAAAGGGAGGGAGAAGATGGAAGAGGAGGGGGAGGGGATGGCATTTGTATTGCTATGCCTTCTTTTACTGTATTTAATGTAAATGGGTTCATTTTTTGTGAAACTCAAAGAATTATGTTAGCGCAATCCTCATTGTAATTTGGTCAACAGATGGTGTCAACAGAGAAGCAACAGTAAATGTGAAAATACATCAACACGTTATTAAATATATTGCATTATGGCAATTTTCTGTTTTTACTCAACTAGGTCACTTCAGATTTCACACTTTGGTAATTCCATAGGCTAGTAATAGTATGACTGAGGTTAGTTAAAACCAGCAGTGCAGTGCTAGGTTATTCCTATTTAGTGGGACTTATACATATTGATTGAGAGGAATATAAAACAATGCAGAAGATGGAGAAAGAGAGAGATGGTGGGATAGTCAAGGATGAAGGGAGAGTGAGATATCAGTACTAGAAGGACTGATATGGGGGGAAGTCAGAGATGGAGAGATGGAGAGTAGATGGAGAGTTGGAGAGTAGATGGAGAGTAGATTAGAGTAGATAGAGAGTTGATGGAGAGTAGATGGAGAGTAGATGGAGATATGGAGAGATGGAGAGTGGATGGAGATTAGATGGAGAGTAGATGGAGAGTAGATTAGAGTAGATGGAGAGTAGATGGAGAGATGGAGAGTAGATGGAGAGTAGATGGAGAGTAGATGGAGAGTAGATTAGAGTAGATGGAGAGTAGATGGAGAGTAGATGGAGAGATGGAGAGATGGCAAGATGGAGAGTAGATGGAGAGTAGATGGAGAGTAGATGGAGAGTAGATGGAGAGTAGATGCAGAGATGGAGAGATGGAGAGTTGATGGAGAGTAGATGCAGAGATGGAGAGTAGATGAGGAGTAGATGGAGAGTAGATGCAGAGATGGAGTAGATGGATAGTATATGGAGAGTAGATGGAGAGTAGATGGAGAGATGGAGAGTACATGGAGAGCAAATGGAGAGATGGAGAGATGGAGAGTAGATGGAGAGATGGAGAGTAGATGGAGAGATGGAGAGATGGAGAGTAGCTGGAGAGTAGAACAAGCATTAATGTGCTCCATTAAGATTTGAAAACAGCCTTCCCATTTGTAGATGGAGGTGATATCTCCTGAATGTCCAACGCCTAATGCCCAGTTTGGTGATCAGTCTGTGTGTGTGTGTGTGTGTTTGTGTCTGTCTGTTCTGATAAAAAATGGGAGTGTGTGTCTCATTTAGCCAACAAGTGCTGTCATGACTTCAATGGGTCACATGGGTTTTCTGCAGGCCCTCATGACACACAGTGTGAATATACATGGTTTCACTGGGCCACATTTGCTGGTGCAGCTATTGGGGATCTATCGTGGCCGGTACGTTTATCATTTTGGGGCTGTGGTTGGGATGGTCTCCTTGAGAACAGAAGGCTGTGATTGTGAAACATGCAAGCAACCTTGCTAAATTCACAACAGTATATTGGTTGATGTATCTGAGCGTGTAGCCTCTTTCATCATACTACAGTTTGTTCTTCAATCATAGTGTTTGTTGCATTTTGGGGGTTTAGTATATATTTGCCTCAGTGGCTCTTTGTGTGTGCTTGGTTAGTCTGTGTAATTGTGTTAGTATGCCAAGTGTCTGAGATCAGAATGGGCCTTATTTTAGATGGCTGCACACACACTGCCTTCTTTCTCCGCAAGCCCACTTCCTTTTCTATTCCCTTCTCTCTCTCTCTCTCTCTCTCTCTCTCTCTCTCTCTCTCTCTCTCTCTCTCTCTCTCTCTCTCTCTCTCTCTCTCTCTCTCTCTCCCTCTCTCTCTCTCTCTCTCTCTCGCTCTCTCTCTCGCTCTCTCTCTCTCAGCCCCGGTCTTTTGCTTAATCTCTGTTTTATTTTTACCCAGAATCCTCTCCTGTCTTTGTCCTCGTTTGTGTTTCCTGCACTCGGTCCTCCTCTGTTTCACCTCCCCTTTTCAACCCCTTCTTTATCTTTCCCTTTCTCTCTGTCTCTCTGTCTTTGTTCCTGCTGCTTCTTCTTTGGTATTCTATGGGTTTCACACAATGGCCTATCCCTTTTGCTCAGCTCCCTCTTCTCTTTTCTGTTAAACCCTCTCCTATTCACTCTACTTTCCCTGCATCCCTTAACCCTATTTTTCTCCCTTCCTGTCCCCTTCCCCTCTCTTTCTGTCTTCCACCTTTCTCCTCTCCCTCTCTACCACTGTCTTTCTGTCCTCTTTCTCTCCATCTCTCCCTACACTCCTTCATCTCCATGTGCTGTTCCTCTCCCTCCCACCACTGCCTCTCTCTCTCTCCCTCCCCCCTCTCCCTCTACCAGTCTCTGCCATGTCTGTGGGGTTGTGCTTGTAGCTGTGGATGGGGATGTTACTCTGTATGTGCTTGAAGCTGTTGTGTGTCAGTAAGGCACACGTTCCGTGCTGCTCTGTCTTTGTAGGACACAGCGCCACTCACATCCAGGTCAGAGCTGTGATAGTAATCTCATTTACACACACACAGCTTCCCAGAGCAGTGTATGGCAAAAACACACCGGTCATATGTTGTTCACAGAGACGCACACACATGCACATGCACACACACACTCACAAATGCATTTACAACGGTTAGGTTAATCCAATTTATAGACAAGCACTCACACCATATACACACTCATCAGCGTCACTCCCTCAGCTGTTCAGTTGTTCTGCGCGGCACCAGAGAACCCATCTAACTAAAGACAGAGCCTCTGAGATAACCCACTGCCTCAAACACGCAACAACCCTAATGCCAAATTAAGACACATGCAGCGCCAAGAAAATATTGATTCCCCCTGTCTCCCCCTTGCCTCCCCCCTGATCCTTCTGGACAGAGGATGGGAGGCGAGGTTTGAGTGTATCTGAGGAGCTACCAGGTACTGGAATCAGGCCTGCTTATTCCACTCTGTCCTTCCCACGTATCAGGGGATATTGCACGGAGTGCCTCTGCAAGATGTTCATCTCATCTGCTGTGGCATCATTCTCTGTTTTCTCTGTCTTTTCCCTCTCTTCAGCATCCTATTACTGTCTGTCTCTCTTCCCCATCTCTTTCTCTGTCTGTCTCTCTTCCCCATCTCTTTCTCTGTCTGTCTCTCTTCCCCATCTCTTTCTCTGTCTGTCTCTCTTCCCCATCTCTTTCTCTGTCTGTCTCTCTTCCCCATCTCTTTCTCTGTCTGTCTCTCTTC